TGTTAAAACCAAGACCACAGGTGCAAAATGGAGTCACTGATGCTGAGCCCCACATCACCAAATCAAGATTTAATTACTTTTTCAGGTCTCCCAGAAATGGAATCTTAAACATCAGTCAAGAAACTCCTGATCAATGCTAGTGAGATAGTCTTCCTGGTGGACCCCAGCCATCCCCTAAAGAAAAGTAACTTTGCAATAACTAACCAACTTTTTGCCTAGTGTAATTTCCTTGTTACTGCTCCCTTCTGCCTATAAAAGTGTTTATTTTTTAAAATATTTTATTTACTTGAGAGAGAGACAGCAAGTGAGAGAGAATGAGATAGAGCAGGGCAGAGGGAGAGAGAGAAGCAGACTCCCCACTGAACAGGGAGCCCAGTGTGGGGTTCAATCCCAGAACCCCAGGATGATGACCTGAGCCAAAGGCAGACACTTAACTGACTGAGCCACCCATGAGGCCCTAAAAGTGTTTAATTTTGTGCAGATGTATAGCTCCTTGGAACTCCTTCCTATCTGCTAGAGAAGGTGCTGCCCAATTCATGAATCTCTGAATAAAGTCATTAAGATCTGTAAAACTTAGTTAGACTTTGTTTTTTAACATGTGCTAGGGTGGAGGTAGATATACATAATTTTGGAGGTAGGGATAGGAAGGACACTTGTTATGATTAATTTTATGCATCAACTTATCTGGGCCATGGGTGGCAGACATTTGGCCAAACATTATTCTGAATATGTCTCTGAGAGTGTTTCTGGATGAGATTAACCTTTGAATTGGTAGGCTGAGCAAAGCAAACTGCCCTCCTCAATATTGGTGGGCCTTATCTCATCAACTAAAGCCCTGATAGCACAAAAAGCCTGACCCTCCCTTGTGTAAGACCCTCCCTCCCTTGACTGTCTTGACCTGGGACATCAGTTCTTTCCTGCCTTCCAACTTGAACTGAAATATCTGCTCTTAGGTCTGGGTCTGCCAGTTTTTGGACTAGAACTGTGCTATTGGCTCTTCTGGGTCTCAGCTTGCTGACTGCAGATGGTGGGACTTCTCAATCTCTATAATCACATGCACCAAGTCCTTATAATAAGTGTCTCTTTATAGATACATACATCCTATTACTTCTTTTTCTCTAGGGAACGCTGACCCATACAGCACTGAAGTTTTCCATGCCCATTCACAACTACTTTCTTATGAAACAGAGTCAAGGTCATCAGCTGAGCATGAGGTAGGTGAGGAAGGGAAAGTGGGTTTGAGAAAAAAGGAAGAGATTTTGCAGAAGGACAGAAATGAGAATGGGGCAGAACAGGGTTTGTTTCTTTGTGTAAAAGGTATTTCTCTCCAAGCAAATTAATGCTTAATTAATTATTCATGAATGCATTGACTCCATATGTCTCCCCTGTAAGATTATAAATTCAAGGGGTAAGGATTTTCTTTCAAAGATGGAACATGGTTTAAAGTTGGAGCCCTTTACTTAGGTTCATACCCCTGATTTGCTGTTTTCTAGCTGCATTATCTTGGGTGAGGTACTCAAACTTTCTGCTCTCCAGATTCCTCATCTGTGTTTACTTCATGGGTTTGGGGTAGAAACTAAAGAAATCTCAAGGGCACTTTCAATGGTGACTGGCAATAGTAAAGATCACGGTCATCTTGGCCTCAGTCTACCTGAGCACTTAGCTCAATGCCTGGAATATAGCAAATCATGGATGCATGAGTTGGTGGATGGATGAAGACTATTTTTTTGTGACTTAGCCTCTATGGTTAAAGGTTACCAGCTCGGCATCATTTCCACCCTATTCTACATTATTCTCTGCAGGTTGAGGGAAGAGCCTCAGAACTATATTCTCTGGAATCCCTTTCCAGTGGGGCTGTGTGTTAGATTTTGCCAATAACAAGTGTTTGCCGAAGGTTTGAAAGAGAAAGAGAAGGAAAGCCATGACTTGTTCAGAGGCGGCTGGGCAGTGTTTAGGACTTTGGCAAAAGACAGGTGAAGGGTTTTGTGCAGCTGCGTCCGGGCATTCTCCTGAAAAGCATAAACTTCATTGCTACATGAAGCCAAACCCATCTGTGGCAGCTAGAAGCTCTGATTTCTGCACTATGGGTTTCTTCAAGGCAGCAGCAGCTTCCCTGCCTTCATTTTTTTTGGGGGGGGGGAGCTCTTCCAATAATTGTATCAGTTCCTAATTGTCTCCATTAAATCCTTTCCTGCTCAGAGTATCTCATGGGTTTGCTTTTTGGACTAAACCCAAATGTTACAGGCTGAATTTTGTCCTCTCCAAATTCCTAGGCTGAAGCACTCACATTTAGTACCTCAGATTGTGAGTGCATTTGGAAATAGACCTTTAAAGAGGTGACTGAGTTAAAATGAGGCCATTTGGGTGGGCTTAATCAAGTCTGACTGATAGGAGGAGGACATTTGGATATACAAGGTGACACCGGGGATGCACTCCCAAAGAAGAAAGGCCACTTGAGGACATTGCAAGTAGGTGACTATCTGCAGGCCAAAGAGAAAGACCTCAGTAGCAATTGGTCTGTTGAGACCATGAGCTCAGGTTTCTAGCCTCCAGCACCATGAGAAAATAAATACCATCCTGGAGTGTTTTGTCATGGTGGCCCTAGGAAACTACTAGACTAGTCCGAACAGTAACTGGATTGTTCGGACAACGAGTCTAAATCGTCCCTCTGATTGTTTGAGGTGAGACAGTGTGGTTGGAGAGGTGTTGAAGGTAGCACGTATTTGTGAGTCACTGGAAAAATTCACACAAGGTCCAGCTCATCCAGAAAGTGCTGCTCTACTAAAGCCATGAAAATTCTATCTCCTGGCCTGGATCAGAGCTGAGTTCAGTCAACACCCAGAAGAAACTGGCCCGGTGTGGATGTCATGCAACGTGGCCCTTCAGTTGTTTCTGCACACCAGCAAAGAGTGCCATTCCGTTCCTCCCCACCTCCAGGCCAGCCCAGGGCCCCGCCGGCACGGATCTTTGCAGCAGTAACGCTGGACCAGTTGCCGGTAGAGAACATTCAGTAGGGGAGTTTGGGTGTCTTTATCTAATTCAGTTTTGAGGGTAAAGGAAAAAATGGAAACCCAAAATAGGGTATGTGGAGGGTACTGGAAGAAGGACTGGAAACCAGAACTGAGTTCTGAAGGCCTGTTGAGAAAGAGAGATCCTGAAGAATCCTTCCTCAGAGGAGGAAGTGCACTAAGGGGCCTGACAAAAACTGTGCTGGGAGAGCCTAAGAGGAAGTGGTTAACTCTACTTTTGAATCTAGAGGGGTGATGGCCTTCAACTCCCCCACCGAGGCTCACCCTTCCCAAAGAGGAGGAAGGTCACAAATAGAGGCCCTTATCTCATGGGCTCCCAGGGCACGTAGGCCCCTGCGGCACCTCCAGATTAAAGGGTTGATGGAGGGTACCGGCCTTGCTGCCCTTCCCTGCATCTGGTATGGCGCGAGGGTTCTCAGGCGTTGTTCTCTTCCGTTTTACCGGTGAGGATTCCAGAGGGTTAAACTCGCAGAGTCGCCCAAGTACTGCCATAGCCGGATTGATTCCCATCCAGTCTTACACTGAGATCACCTCTTTCGCCATTTTGTCATACGGTCTCCCCGAAACCCTCGGAGGGCCTACCCACTGGACATCCCCCATGCCGAAGGGATGTGCTGGCGCACGACAGATACCACTTTCAAGTGCCCCTGCCCACCAGAGCAGCGCTGCCTACGGGATACTCACACGTACCGTCCGTTCCACTCTGTGGAGCTTATTGAAAGTAAAGGAGTACTTCTGTTTTTCCCAGGGAGTCTGAGGGTAACCAAGAAAGAATAATTTGTGTGTAGGAGTTAGGAATAAAGGTTCTTCTGAAGATATTTCAAAGGTTTTCTCAAATGTTCCATTACTGCAGTGAAACCAAAGTTGTATTACGTATTTACGTGGGTGGTTTTCATTCTAAGATTGTAATTCTAGCTTTACTTAGATCAGAAACAGAAATCAGACTTTAGCTGAAGGAAAGAGTATAATTTTTAAGCAGAGTGGCAACTGAAGACAAAGACATTTATAATGAAAGTAAGCTGGCCATCTTTTTTCCATTATTCAAGAAAACCTTGTAGTGATGTTGGTTTTCACTAAATACTTGGTTAGATTCTCTTTATCTGTTTTATTTATGTCCTGGTCTCCTTGCCCACACCCGGACCCTCCATGCTGACATAAATGGAATCACACCATTAGGAACCAAAGTTCAAATTCCAGTCAAGCTGGTTTCAATGTGCTTAGATGTAATTTTCACCTCTTTATACCTAATTCGAGTCATTTATGAGATGTGCATAATCCTCCCTCAGTCTGGAGGGTTTGCCCCACCTTATATTTTAAATATGTAAAATCTCTTTGATTTCCTAACCGTGCCTTTTTGTACTGTTTTTACAGTAAAAAATATTACAGCAGCCCTAAAGGGATTTTTCAAAAAACAAAAAACCGAAACCTCTCCAAATAACAACTGATTTCAGTTTTGTGTATTTCTGCCCTTTTGTTACTTATACTGACGTATCCATTTAATGTTTAATTCTCAGGCTATGAGATACCTAACACTGCCACCCACCCCAGCGAAATGCTGTTCTCAAAGGAGGGTGTTTCTGGCATACCACTGCCTTCTAAATGAGAACTGAAAAGGGATACTCCTGCCCCGTGGGCCTTGCTGCCTTAGGAATCCCTGGTTACTCTCTCCTCATTTCCTCCCAGCCCCCAAGTCCCTGTTTTTTATTTACTAACGATTCCAAAACTAAATATAAATCTTCTCCTTTTGCATAACAAAAACAAACCTTTTATGAGGGCAAAGACAAACTCTGTTCATCTCAGTGTTTAATACGGTGTTGGGGCGTATAGCATATTCATCACCAAATAAAAACTACAAGGAAAGGAGGGATTTGTGTCCTTTTTGGCTTCAAATCTATGTCATTGCTTTAGTAATCGTATCTCCTAAAATCAGAGATTAAGTGGTAAGGAAGAAGAAATCACTGTTGCCACATGTAACACTTGTACATTTTATTTAATTAAATCAGCCATTGTACACATTGCAGCTATGTATTGTTAGTGTTGTATTTTTTTTCCATTAACTAATACATGCCCTCATAGATATATTCAATTAGTGTTATCACCATGGGAACAAGATGCTGATTCATCAACTGAAAATTCACTTCTTCTCACAGTATTCAAGTTTTTTGATTACACAGCAAAAATCAAAAATCAAAAAAAGGTGAATAACCATTATGTTGTTTCACAGACGTCATCTGCACTGCAAAGAACACAACAGAAATGCTTTTCTTGAGCTCCAGTGAAGGTTTTGACAAGAGGGCCATGGTGTGTCTCAAAAAGTTTCACCATTGAGCCTCTCTCATTTTGGCTGCCAAAGAAAGCTTTATTTCCTATCCGACTGCCAGAAAGTGCTAGCATTTGAGGCTTTAAGAGATTTGGCTTGTGGGAAACCTCCCTCCCAGGAAATTTTCTCCCTTGGCAACATTACTTGAAATGATGAAGTGCCATTGTTTGTCACATTTGTTTTTGACTTTCGGAGCAATGAGTCATTTTTGCACAACAGGAAAAGACCAGATAGAATTGGAAAATGTTCAATCCCTGGAGGATAGACTTTTTTTTAAAATTTCATCTTCATTGAATATACTTTTCTTTAACAAATAACTGATTCGAAATGTATACTGTTTATATGAATATATTTGTGAATATATATATATGTTAAAATGCTACACAGCTTCAACCACTAGAGGAATAAGGAATAGGACATGGAAATCACTCAGATGATTAAAGTTCCTTGTCTGAAACAAACAAAAAAGTGCACAAATGCACTTAAGAGTTTCCAAGGGAGTTTGGATTTCAAATAAATAAATCAAAAATTTTAACCAAAACCAAATTTGTAAGGATTTCTCAACCTTGTCTGCAAGCTAAAAAACAGACCCAGCAGAAGAGTGAAAAGTGCTTGCTCAGGGTCAAAAGAATGAAAACCATCAGTGTGATTAGAAGAGGAGTTTTGACTGTGGTTTCGATTTTTAAATGCTACATGCAGGTATTGGAGAAGATATAAACCCAGAGGGGGGAAAGAAAACCACTCCAACACGGTGAAGGAGTTTAACCTTTTGCGTAGGGGGTAAATCTTGTTTCCAATGGATTATCTACAGTGCAGTGGCCAGGAGAAAGTACCACCAATAAGACAGCGTGGTTTGCTAAAGCAGCAATGAAAACTGGAAAACTACAGTAGTTATAGCTTTTAAAATACCCTGCCAATGTGTCCAAAATCTAAAAGACCTGAAGATGCTAGAATGCCACAGGATGTGGTGGCTAGCCGCTGAATACCTCACTGTTTCTTTCCTTTTGCCTTCTGCTCCCCTTCTCCCCTCCCTCGTGTGGCCGTTGGGGAATCATAAACCAAGGCTGGCCAGCACCAGCAGTAAGTGCTTAGTTAGGATAGTCCTTGAGGTTATTAACCATCTTTTACTAGGAGCAACGGCTACTCTGGAAGTTCTAAGGACGTGGTAGGTCTGAAGGGCTGCTTTTGCAGTCAAACTGTATTATCACTTGATTGTGTTAGCAATATGGTAATTGACCATTGTTCAGCAATTTCTAGAGGCCTTTTATTCCATGATGCCCAGTGTAGTTATGATAGGCAGTGGTTTTAATTTTAGTATGTTGTTCATCTGAGCATTTGAGCTATATACATGGTACAAGGATATCCCTCGGAAGGACTCCCGGACATCATCACTTGAAGAGGTCTGTAGGTGAAGTTCTTCTGATCGATGGATTTTCGTGGAGCTTGTGTAGGAGCAAAGAACGATGGAGGTGGCCAGTTCCCAGTTTAGCACAGACACAACAAAGTAGTGGATACAGCATCCAGACTGAAGGATGCTATCTTTGGTCACAAATCAGCTTACAGTTAAAGAGGACGGGGAAAAACTGAAACAGAATGCGGTGTGTATTTGCTAAAAGTGGAAGTGTCAGGGTATCCCATTAGGCTAGGGAGGTCACTCTGCTAATGAAACGGGAAGTTGCATATTGAGTGAATGCGTGGTTTCTGGTGTGAGGACTGGGCAGCCCCTCATTTGGCCTCTTGCTTCGAGTCCTCCTTGCAGAAATGCCGAAGGAGTTGCTGGAGGTCGCGCTGGAGGTCATCTTGGTCTAGTGCTTCTGGTACATCCTCCAGGTGCTCCAAGTAAATGCGTTTTCCATGCTGGTCCTTCACCACAGCCCTCTTCTGTGTGCTGGCTTTACTCATTGTTGTCCTGGAGGAAAGCAGACAAGAGAGAATTATGCTTTCTTCACTGAAACACAGCCACCATCTTTGGAATGGGGGTAACCATGACATGAAAGCACTTTACTGTCCTACCTATGGATACTTCCACACTAGCCATCTTTCCACATCTTTCTTTTAAATGTGGCCTCTCCTGTCTGACATGAGTCATGAAATGTTCTAAAGTCTTTTGGAATAAAGAAGGTTTTTTAAAACCTTAAGAACTATTTCAAGTAACTAAAACCATGCTTTAATAGGATTCTCTCCAAGAGTAACTGTATAATCATTCTTGTTTTGCTAAGGTGCCCTGATTTGGGTGGCGTAGTTGGTGGGGCATCAAACTCTCCATTTTGGCTCAGGTTGTGATCTTGGAGTTGTGGGACTGAGCCCCGCATTGGGCTCTGCACTCAGGAGGGATCTGTTTGAGAATTTCTCTCCTTCCTTCTGCCTCTTCCACTCATGCTCTCTCTTTCTAAAATAAACAAATAAATCTTAAAAAAAGAAAGAAAGAAAGAAAGAGCTCGACTCCTCCTGAAACAGGGATTCCATATGTACTTTTTGACAGGCTGAGAAAAATACTTTTTGATTTCTTAAAACATCTTAGCGGGGGGCGCCTGGGTGGCTCAGTGGGTTAAGGCCTCTGCCTGTGGCTCAGGTCACGATCCTAGAGTCCTGGGATCGAGCCCCACATCGGGCTCTCTGCTCGGCGGGAAGCCTGCTTCCTCCTCTCTCCCTCTGCCTGCCTGTCTGCCTACTTGAGATCTCTGTCTGTCAAATAAATAAAATCTTTAAAAACAAAACAAAACAAAAACCAACAACAACAACAAAAAAAACATCTTAGCTGCCAGCTTAATCTTTAGAGTTGCATCCTGTTCTAGGAAAACTTTTCCATGAGCTATAGATCTTTAAAAACTGGAATCTTATTCTGTCAACCTAGAGGAAGGTGACTGCCAATGAGAGATGAGGGTCTGCCCAGGTGTCAAAACTTCATCTAGAGATGGTGGGGAAGACAGAGGAAAGAGAAAAAACACCGAGAGACAAATTCTTTCTCCATCTGCTCAGATCTCCATGGACTTTGCCCATTTTTGGTCTTCTATGCCATTGAAGAGTTTGCTGCTTTCTTCGCTCCCTCCTAACTAGTGATTCCTTGACAAAAGGGGCTCTGATGTACTGTGATATTTTGTACTACCATTTTCCTGCATCCCTACTTGAAAATGATTATGCTGTAATCTGTACACCCTCTCTTCTTCTCACTACTTCTAAATATAATTATTCATTCCGTTACTATGTGGTGAACATTTTTATGTGCCAGGCACTATTATTAAAATGAATAAGGATAATGAGTCTCAGAGACTTTAAGCAATGCTTCAAATATAAAATAACATAGTTAGTATGAAGCAGGGCCAAGACTCAAAGGTTCCAGAGCCTGAATCTATAACCATGATGTTACACATCTTCACTGAAAACCATGGAAGAAATGAGCAGTGTTTGTGACTTTACCCAGCATTTTTCTTACTGATTCCTAGTGTTAAGGAGCTGGAAGTTCTGCCCTTACCATTATTCTACCTTTTAACACTGCCATGCATTGAAGATCATCCTGATTTTTTTTTTAAGACTTCTATTAGCCAAAATACTTTCAACCTTCTTTTGAGCATCTTTGTTTCCTTCTTCCTTCTTCTCGCATGTTCTCTTCTTCTCTCCCTTCCTTCAAACTTCTCTCCTTTCCTTCAACACCACACAAGTTATTTTGTTTTGTTTTGCTTTAAAGATTTTATTTATTTATTTGACAGACAGAGATCACAAGTAGGCAGAGAGGCAGGCAGAGAGAGAGGAAGGGAAGCAGGCTCCCCGCCGAGCAGAGAGCCTGATGCGGGGCTCAATTCCAGGACGCTAGGATTGTGACCTGAGCCGAAGGCAGAGGCTTTAACCCACTGAGCCACCCAGGCGCCCCTCACATGAGTTATTTTGTATCTGAAAGCAAACTTAAATTTGTTCCTTTTTAAAAAAATTTATTTATTTTAGAGAAAGAGAGAGCTAGGGTAAAGGCAAAGGGAGAAAGAGTCCTCCAGCAGATTCCCCAGTGAGCATGGAGCCCAATGTGAAGCTTGATCCCAGGACCCTGACATCATGATCTGAGTCAGATGCTTAACCGACTGAGCCACCCAGGCACACCAAATTTGTTCCTCTTGATAACAAGATCAAATTTGGTTCCAGTGATTGAAATTAGATTTCTAACTATTCAGCCCTCATAATTTTCATCTCCCAAAAGGCAAATATCCGATTATTTCTGCCAAGAGCTAAAGAAGCCTTCATTGCACTGGTGGTGGTGGTTGGCAGGTGGGGGCAGGTAGGGGGGTGGGGGAGTGATAAGTTCCTGTCATAGGCAAACTCTGGTATTTTGTGCAGATATGTGTAGATGAATGTGTTTGTGAGTACGCACATGCATATAACTCAAGCAGTGGAATGAATCTACTCATGTATATGGGGGGGCAGTGGGTATGATAAAAAGTCTTCAGCAACATTCAGGATAAACGTGTTATACATGACAAATACAGTTCTGGAACTAAATAGCTATAGAATTTAATTGAGTTGTCTGTATCCCTGGCTTCAAATTCACCAGCTGTAACTGAGATGACTGAGACCTTTGGATTAACTGGTCCCTAAATGTAGTCCAATTTAAAGAGCTCATGATGCTGGGGTGTGCGCATGGTTTATGTGGTTTTGTCTGAGTAACTGAATAACAGACTTAAAAGTTCAGAGTACAAAAAGCACTTTATCCTTAATTTACATAGCATTTTTAAAGTTCTCTGAGCAATTACACTCTTCAATTCTTAGCTGCTGCTGCTGTTCACATGGGACTGGAGGGCGGAATTGTGACAGAACCTTTAATTCACTGTTCCTAATTATTATGTTCTACGGGCTAAAAATAGCTTTGTAGAGTACTATAAATGACAATCTTTTTCTTCTTTACAATGAAGGGGAAAGCACAATAGTAACTTAAGTTTCCATTGTGCCTTTTCACTGCGAAGCTGAGAGCACATCATTAGCATGGTGCTGCTAGAGGACCTGAGAGAAGGGCCAGGAGATGAGGCAAGAGGCAAGGGTGCTCGAGTTCATACATCAAATAGGTGATAGGGACAGGCTGACCAGGGAGTTTCACAGCTGGCCCCCTTTCTTAGGCACAAAAGTGAGGTGCTGACTGCTTTTATGGCACTTTCTAAACTTAGTAGAGTTCCTGATTTCAGCATTGCTAGGTACATTCAGGTTTGGGGATGTCAAACTCATGCTCATGTTATTTGCCACTCACATGCGGGATCATGAAACAGCTTATAGCTTTTGGAGGGAGGTTTTAAAAAAAAATTTTTTTTTTTTTTAGAAACCCAAAGCATGTACCATGCAGTTATGATTTGCTAAGACTGAACTGAAAGTAGCTGGTCACAAGATTAATTTGCGAGTAGCTGATTAGATTCCTCCTCATATGAGCTCCAAGTCTATCAACACGATGGAGGATCCCAGCCAGGCGGCCTCAGCGAAATGGACGCCTTGCTAAAACCCAGGGAGTGACTGTGACAACTGGTGTCTCGTTCTCCTCAAGCCTTGCTATTACTTTCAAAGCATCCAGAGGACGCTACAGGCATGACCTGACAGATCTACCACTTGACAAAAGTGTACGATGCAGAGAGAGTTGGAAGTTCCCAAGGGATGTTAGGGTATATGTAGGGGCTGTTTTTATTTTCTTAAAATTGGGGAAAAACTCCAGGTGTTAGTTGGCAAAGCATAACCCCATGCTACCCCAAACCTTTTAATGACTGATCCATCCTCTTTCAGGATTTCATCCTCTACTAAACTGGGGAAGTGCACTTTCATGTGGCTACCTGTGTAAGTCAAAGCCTAAAGAAAAAAGAAGACAGGACAAAACCCATCGTAAACCAAAGACTTAAAAAGAATCTATTCCGGTGCTTAATTGATAATGAGTATAAAAAGCTATACTTGAAAGGGTAAATAAAAACAATCTCGGGATCAAATAAAAGAATTGAGTTTTATCTAAATTCCTCCCATTTGTGAGGGACATGTACTACAATGCTTCATAGATGCTGGTAAATAACGTCTGTACTGCCAACTTCTGATTTGCTCCTCACCTCACCCCTTCTTTTCCCAGTGGAGACTCTACCGATAAATATGATTAGAGGCAAAACAAGCAACAAAGGAATAAGACCCAAAGTGTACAACTCACACAATTCATCTTCTGATTATCCAAGGTCAAGATACTTTCCTTAAAAGTATTTAAATAAGGTATGCCTTTCATACCTCAATGCATTCATATATAATCTCAGCACATATTGTGGGTAAAGAAGAGGACACATGTGTAACACTTAACTTCAAAAGGGCTCAATAGCAAAAAGTGTTTTGTAGATATTTGCATAGGTCCACAATCCCTTAGTCAAACCCTTGGGGCCAGATGTGTTTCAGAACCCAGAATTTTTTCTTTTTGGATTTTAGAAAGGTAATATGATACATACACTGTATGTTCCAATACCACAGAAGGGGCTGGGGCAGTATCCTGTAATCAAACTCACACGTGTATCAACAGAAAACCATATGAATATTCACTCTACGGAGGACTAAAACTCCTTCCAAGTCCTAATAGCTCTGTATCAGTTCATATTAAATTCTGCCACCAAATTAACTCACTACTAAGCTACAAAATTTGTTTCAGTTTTCAGAATTTTTGAATTTTTGAATCCTAGTAAAGGTCTGTTGGTCACCGTGGACCCATTTCCTAGTTCCTGAAAATCAGAACTTAAATAATCATAAATACTTATTTTATTTCTAGGTTTAAAATAAAACTGAATCTTCTTTAATGTCAATCTTCAGAAATATTTGAGAATATTAGTAAAGATAATTTGCAACCTATTTATTTCTTTTTCTTACTAACTGGGAAGTTACTTCTGGGACTTCCTAGCAAGATGTACAATCATGACCTAATTCCAGAGATTCTGATTCTGATTCAGCTGAAGAGAATTCTGGTCATCTAGATTTTTAAAAGTATTTAAGAAGACACTGATGAACACCACAAGTTGTGGAAACATTACCTCCCTGTACAAGTTATTCACACAGGAATTCTACTCTCTTGAATTTTTCTGCACCTTTCCATGAATACACATATGGAATGACATGATGATAACCATTTTCTTTTTAAACACAAAGCAAACATAAAACATACATACACCACACAAAAACATGAAAGTGATAATGCTTCTATACCTCTTCAAAGTCATCTTTGGCTGAAGGAAGATCGGTGGCTAAACTAGAATCACCCAGATGTTTCTCCATCCTCTCTCCATGTACCATAGTTGTTTTAACAACTTTGCTGACTCTACGGCCTTCCACTGGTTCAGCCTGAAATTGTGAGGTACTGGACAAAATGCTGGGCTCAGACAAAGTTACCTAATGAATGAAGGACACATGATACATGGTTTCTGACTGCCACAATGTCACAGTGATGAATTCTTTCATATAAAAAAAAAAACAAATAAAAAACCCCAAAACCCTACAATGATATATACCGGTCTTCCAGAAAACAGTATTTTGGAAAAGAGAAGCAGTTACAAAAAGAAAGAAAAAGCCTGTAATCCACTGGTGATGCTTCTGTGGAAGACTCTACGTACACAGCACCAAACTCATGAGTCACCTGAACGAAAACCCATCAGGAAGTATTGTAAATAAGAAACCAATTGCTCAGTGCAATGCAGACATAACAGCCTGTTGATAAACTCTCTCCTCCATGTTTAAATGGTTTTGACATTATGAAGATAAAACTAATCCCCATAGGAGAAACTCTCAAAGATATGAGAAACCAAAAAAATAGATTTCTGGAAAAACTTTGTGCCTGATAATAACATTTTGAGGATGTGGATGAATGCAAAACAGTGAGGGTGTCACAAATTATACGTCAAAGAGAGTCAATGTTTCTCAAAGAGAGTAGAATGGAAAGAAAGGAAACTAGAGGTCAGGGAATTTCTGGACCCTGACTTTAGTGACTCTGAAATGCACAAGTTTAAATATCAAATATTTATCAACAGGGCCCTACAGAGGCTGCCACGCTGTCCATGGAACAAGCGCCACAACGCAATTGTAAGGGACTTTCCGTGACATACTTCTTGCCAGCCAACGGAACTCTGGTCTTTTAAAATTTGACTTTTGGATTTCTATTGTTATGTACACAACCATGAACTGAACAGAAAACAGAAATAAGAAAGACCAAACAGAGATCATGAATACAATGGCTACAAATCTCCTCGATGGTTATTTTAAAATGCCACAAAATCATGAAGAAAAAAATGAATGTACAACTGAAAGTAGGGTGCCATGTAATGGGGAGTAGTGGGGCCAATGTGGGTAAACAATGTCATCCACCTCTTCTGACTCTATTTCACACTTGTCCATAAAATCACGTTTGAGAATCAGATGTTCTTACCTCTGACTGTTCGGTGTCACTCTTTAATACAATGCGTTTCAAGACTTTGGAATAGCTATCTCCTTCCTCAATGCTGATGGGTCCCTGGTGTGTTCCCTGCATCGTAACCTCCTCTTTCTCTGTGCCATCAGAGGACACATACCGCCTAATGACTTTCCTAGTGACCTGAAAGATATTTTATTCATGGATCTTGTTTTTTGAGGAACTGTACTGGGGGACTGATAAGTTTTAAGCAGGAGGTTTGAAATCAGTCACATTAGGACAGTACCTTCTTGACCACAGTATGTCCATGCTCATCAATGTATTCTTCTTCTGTGACTGTTTCCGGGGGTATGTCAGGCATATCATCTCCCTAAACGGTTGAGAGAAAAGGGTCACTTCTGTGTTTGGCACTGATTCTGGGAAACTCTTCCCAAGGGCTTATAATGGGAGCCATGTTAGAAAATGAAGGAAGCTACTGAGAAGCACTGCTGAGATGCCAAGTCCTGTCAAGTAGTATGTTTAAAGGAAAGAAAGAAAGAAAGAAAAAAAGGCGGGTGATAACATGCTTAGGCGAACTGGACCAAAGTTAGGTGTACAACAAAGACACAAATAAAAACGGACAAGCGAGGTGAGGTGGGCAGAACGGAAGAAGCGCTCTCACTCTTGCTGTTTGCTCTCTCGAGGTGGGCTGCCAAAGTCATCACCACTGCATTGTTTTTTTTTAACAAACCAAACTTAGGAGAGTTAGGATCTGCTTTTGAATGGCCATGCACTCCCTGAAGAGCATGCCGAGCCCTCATTGCTCCAGGTCTACCACTCTCTAAGGGTTATGGGGACAGAAGTGTCCCGGACGTGCAGTAACATAACAGCTATTACCTGAATAATCACTCGTCGGTGGACAACCCTGGTAGTTACCATCGCCTCCTCATCTGAGCTGGCCTCCAGCTCACCTAATTCCTCTGTTAGCTCCTGGTGGAAGCATGGAAGCATGGTTTTGTTTAACACACTAAGGAATGTCTTCACTACTGGTTTCTGCTTTAGTTCACACTTGTTTTCTGAAAGTCTCATTCCTGGAGGCTTTGGTGGAAAAGCCAGCAGGGCAAACAGGTGTGTATAAGAAAATAGATTTTTTTGTTCAATGAATGAAAAAAAAATTATGGAATTCTGAAAGCTGTCTGAGTGCCCATCTGTCAAAATCTGTCAGAAGAAATGTGCAGCTTGTCCACATCACTGCTTGGACTTAAACTCCTGATAAAACCGCCAGATGTAAACACAGAACTCAAGCAACACAAAAAAACATTTATAAACCACTGACACTTGGGCTTTAGGCTTGGAATGATTAACCCACAGGTATAGAAATAACTTAAGCTTGTAGCAGAACTTTCTGCAAAAAGCCACAATTTCCTAGTAGCTGTTATCTAGCCAGTGGAGCATCTCCCTGGCAACAAAAAAGGCAGCCTATGAATACTAGACTCATTTTGCAGAGAAGTTAAGACGGACTGGCCAGTCTGATGTTATGGGTCTGGCCCAGTGTCAGAGATGGAGCTGAAGACATAATTTTAGATTAGAACACGTATCTCGGGAGCAGTCTATCAAATCGCTCTTTCCTAATAGGATGATTTTGTTTGTTTTTTAACGAAGACTCAATGAAATGTTTTTGACGTATTTTTAAATACTTGATATATTTCTACATGCTTTTCTGCGAAAGGAAGATATGTAAAATTTTAAGCAAATTATACTTTAAAAACATTCAGGAATCTGCCACCTAGAAATACGATCAGCACAAAAAGTGACTGAAATTGGATCCTCAAGATAAGGTCATGAGAAGTTAAGAGTCAAAATAGGAAGCATCACAGAGGTAACTGGACCATTTATTCATTAAAAATAAATGGAACAGACCTGTGTAAAGTGGAATACAGAAGGACTTATCAAAATTTATTTATGTGCATTGAAAAAAATAAATGAATTACGCAGATAATTGTTTGAAATCTATACTTCATTTAGCCACTGGATTCGTAGGCTAAATTTCATTAACTTCTAAGTCCAGATAGCATCTTTGAAACACTTTTACTAGAATTCATTTGAGCCAAGAACTTGGGAGATGAATAATTCTGTGCAAAAGTAAACTTAAAATAAAATTCCATTCATGGGATGAATTTATTATTTAAGGTAACTGCCAAAATTGGGACACAGTTCTCATTTGCCTGAACCTCTCCTAATTAGTCATGATTTTAGACAAATCCTGCTAGCAGATGTCATCCTCATAGTGAACCAAAATAAATGTAGGCCTTAAGCCCGCAGATAAGTTGTATCACTTGTTTCCCCAAAAAGTTTCAGTTCTTTTATATAACTCATTCTTTACTACTGAGACATATATTAATGCTTTAAAAACACTTTGAGGTAGAAAATGTTTTTGAATTCCGAAAGGAAAAATATATAATTTAATTTATATTAAATTACATTTAATGCAAACAGATTCTGGGTCCTCCTTCCCTCCCTGAGAGTCATTTTGATTCAGGAGCTCTGAGGAGGGCTCAAACCCCCGCCATTAATGCTGAGGGATATGAACAGTTTAGAATTCATTTTGAGAAGAAATGGTTTAAATGAATTTCTTAAGATGGTCTCCACCCTTCTTCACAATATCAAAACTCACATAAGGACAAAGGAAACAGTGTGACGTCAACTCTTGCCCCTGTCAGGGATTCCGACTTTCTGAATCAGCAGTAAGTTTATGTACCATGTCCCTTTTCAAAGTCCTTCTTAAAACAGACATAAGGAGATCTATTTTGGAAATAATCTTTCCTTTAACGAGAAAAACTTGTTTCAGGAGGTAAACCCCACGGGACAGTCACAGTCTGCCTGCTCATCGTTTGATGGCACAGGCAGATCTAACCAGAGTCTGGCTCCCACAAGTTGCCGTGGCTGGCATCTACCTGAGGCCCTGTGAATCCCTCCCACTAGACTGCCCCCCTGTGGTTATCAATTTTGAAAAGCTCTATCGGGTATCTTGTTTCATCACAGTGTTCATTTTCCTTAGCAAAAGGTTTTTCAGTTGTAAAATTACGGCTCGTGGTCAAATAGCTAGAATTGGAATGTGTATCATTTTTTTTCTAGATTCTCTGGTCCCAGGTTTTAAAAGGGATTGAGGAGTTCACATGACCCAGGTTAATTTTTTTCAGGGAAAAAAATAAGCCAGCAGAGAAATGGAAACTGGGGAAGGTTTGTAGCTTTGCTTCCTGTGGGCAAGGAAAACGAGGAGATTCTTACCTTATGGAAAGCTTCATCTTCATCGAGCCTTTCAAGATCCTGGGGCTGGTCATTAGTGGACTCCACAATCACCAGGCTGGTTTTCTGAGAACTCTCCTCCCCATGTTCTGGGGCTTCTTCAGGTTCTTGTATGATGGGAGAGTCTCCCCGCTCACTAGATGTTGGGGTCTGGAGGTATGGCCTCTCCTCCTCAGGAGGGGTCCTAATTTCCTCAGGGGTCTTGCTGGGAGAGCCAGATACAGCCGTGGCCTTTTGAGTCTCTGACACTTCTGTCCCTGGGGTTGTCACACTGAAATGGAAAAGCCAAGCTATACCAGAAGAGTATACACATTCTTCCTACTCCCAAAGCAAGAGAATTAGAAGGAAAATGGAATTTATCTTCATGGTCCATGGAAGTTAAAATAAGTTTTGTAAATGTGGCCAAGAAATGAAATTTGAATAAAAATCATATGTAAGATATCGTATAGAGTTACAGATCATCGATCTAGCATTGACTGGGAAAGATGTATTCTAAAGATAAAAATTATCCCAAAATGTATTACCATTTCCTAATCCCTACAAAGTATATAAATTATAATTTCATATTTTCTTTGATATCTCAAAGGGATCTTGAAGATTTGAGGAGGTTTATATAAAAAAGTTCTGTAGATAATAAGGCTTTCGAGACAAGAATCAAAGTTTGGGAAAAAAAATTTTTAAGAACCAATGTATAAACCCCATGTTAATATCTCTATCATAACTGTAAATAGAGAGAGAGTCTTATTATATCTCTGGAAAACTGTATTACTTGATGGAGAGACCTAGTTAAAACTTTTTCTACTGATATAATTTGGAGTTACTCCAAGGCAATCTTTGTAATCTCATCTTCTAAGAAAGAGAATTTTCTGCTTTTTCTGTTTAACTTATTGCAAATTTCTGTCGCTCCACAGATATTAAGTGCCCAAAGTGCCTCTCTGATATGCCCTCTTTGCTTCCCACCTTTTTCTTTTTTTTTCCTCTTTTCTTTCTGCTCTCCCCTAAAATCTAAAGGTGGTTGGCAGGTGGTGGCTCAGTGGGAAAAGGGATGATTTTCTTACCCATTTCACCCTCTTCTCAAGTTCCAGTGACCCCAGCACAAAGCTCACTTAATGACAAGAGCAATGCTATGATGCAAGCTCCTGACACACTATTCTCAGATTTCAGGGCTGGGGATGCATTTGCCTTTTGCAAGATCTGTTTTCTTTCTCTAAATAGCAAGTGCCGTTCAAACAACTCTCTTTCTCCTTCGCTTCTAGAAAGGCCAGAACTTGAGTTCTGAGCTGCCTGCTCCGTAGTTGTTTCCTCTAGCCAGAAGCTCTCTGGAAAACTTCTCTTTATTCCCACTCCGACCACACCCCACCTTATTTTAACGGCCTTTCATTCTGTGTGCATCATCTGTGCTGTGTTTCCAATTCTACTCTTAGCCACCCTACCACCTTGGAGAAACACACCGATGGCTGTTTCCCCTACACTCACTGTCCACGCTCTGAACAAGCTATGGGACAACTGGCACAAACCAGAGCATTTCAGTCCTGTCTGAGGGGCAGGCCTCTTACAAGCAATAAGAATGAGGTCCACATGAAATTGTATAGTTGAAACAATGCTTTCACGGGCACATCCTTGACCTGTGACCCTATGAGATGAATATTGTGCATATTACTCTAACTTAGAGATGTGAAAACAGAACCCAAAAGGGCTTTGGGACCTGCCCAAGGTCACAGAACTGGAAGTTGGTGCAAACAGGCCTCCCGCACAATTCTGTCACAATTCTGTCTCAGATCGTTTGCTCTTTGTCTATAGTTCTGGCCCTTGTTATTGGTGGGGTTCTTTGCAAACTATCTGGAAATAATTCACAGCAGTATATGCCTGGCACTCCTGTCACACTGGCTTGTTCCCTGGAATTACATATGACAGGCTTTTCTTTTGAAACTCACAAGTACTCCTGCTGACACTCGAGAGAGGACTCTTCAGGCAGGTCTTGCATTTTCCCTGAGAAATCCTGTTGGGCTGGCTCCCTGTGAGTCTGGGGAAAGAGATCTGTGGCTGAGCTGTCCCCCTCCACTTTGGGGATGCAATCCTGAAAAGTGGAATAACCGACAGAAATGTCTTCCTCTGAGACAATGGGAGGGTGCTCGCAGGACTCGCTCTCTTTAGAAGCAGCTCGCTCCTCTTTCTGCTTGTGCTGTGTGGTGCATAGGTCCTCCTGAAGGGCTGAGAACCCTGCGGGGCACAACAATTTTAATTCAGTATTTAATTGCAGCTCACTTATATTAAAGAGGTAAATATTAAAGAGTAACAATAGGTAATACATTCTAAATACTGATTATGCCTCGGGCACTGTTCTAGGTGCTTTGGAAGTATTGACTTGTATTAACAACGCTCTGGGGTGAGAACCCTTTTCACGCAGCGTCTCTCAAGCCAGGCTAAGGAATTTTACTATATCCTGAAAAATTTTTGGCAGAGGTATGACTGACGTGCATCTACTTACTTATTCACTCAACAGATCTATATTGAGTATCAACTACGTAGTAGGTGCTGTTTAGATGTTAGACATATAGCAATGAACAAGTCCTCACTGAACTTTTATTTCTGCAGATATAAATTTATGATATATTTTAGAAGAAAAAGAAACCAGGGTAAAAGGACAGTGCAGATAGGGCTAGTGTTTTAGATAGATTGGTCAGGAAAGAGTCCTGTTAGGAGACGATTTTGAGCAGAGGCCTGAAGTAAGTGAGAGAAACAGGTATTGAGGTATTGATGCTCTGAGAGAACAGTCCACTAGAGTGGAGGTAACAAAAAGTAGCAGAGCCCCACAGCCTGAGAACATGTAGGGTGCCCAGGGAACTGCAGGGAGCCCAGGTCTCTGGGTTTTATGGAAAAGGAGAGAGATGGGAGATAGGACAAGCTTTCACTGAACAGTAACACACACCATTACTGAAATCTAGAAAAAGAAGCTACAGAAAGAAACTGAGGAAGAGTAGCCAGTAAAATAGGGGGAAAAAAACATGGAAGGAGGGTATCATGGAAAATGAATGAAGAAAATATTTTAAGAAGAGATTAATTTTTTGGTCAAATATTACTAAGGGGCATATGAGGTGAAGACTGAAAAATTACTCACTGTATTTGGCAATGAGGAAATAACTGGTTAGTTTTATGAGACTGTTTTCTGTTGGGTGGCTATGACAAAAGACTGACTGGCATGGATTCTAGAGACAGCTCTAAAAAGAACTGGAAGACATGAGGCAGATAGAGGAAGTTTGGACTTTTATTTTTGGAGAGATTTTCTATAAAATAAATGGAGAAACAGAACAGGGAGGAATATGGGATGAAAGGAGTTGCTTTGTTTTGCTTTGAAGATGGGCTCAATTAAGGCATGTTTTAGTGCTGTTGAGCATGGTCTAGTTGTAGAATGCCACAGAGGACAACTATAGCAGTGAGGTCCTTAACTGGATAAAAAGGGATGGGATCCAGAAAAAAAAGAAGAGATGATGGTTTTAGCAAAGCAAAGACGTTTTACAGCAGAGAGAAGGCAGAGTACAGGCATTGAGATGCACTTAGGTTGGTAGATTTGTGAAAGAAATGGACATTTCCTTCAGATGATTCTCATTTTTTCTAAGAAATATGAAGCATGGTCATCAGCTTTGAATAAGGAGAAGAGAAATGCTGGAAGCTGGAAAGGAGAGGAAAATTCTTGGTATAAAATAGAGATGAGGGGCGCCTGGGTGGCTCAGTGGGTTAAGCCTCTGCCTTCGGCTCAGGTCATGATCCCAGGGTCCTGGGATCGAGCCCCACATCAGGCTCTCTGCTCAGTGGGGAGCCTGCTTCCTCCTCTCTCTCTGCCTGCCTCTCTGCCTACTTGTGATCTCTGTCTGTCAAATTAATAAATAAAATCTTAAAAAAAAAAATAGAGATGAGAGGGAAGAAGAAAGAGAGTGAGTGAGCATGTGAATAAATGAGAATGAGAATGTGAATAAATGAGTACTGACAAGATGGCAGAGCCAATGGCTGGAGGTCCCAGTGGGTCTGAAGAAATGTTGGTGTGGAAGCAAAAGGGGAAGTAAATGTAATGCTTCAAGTTAGGACACTGGAGTAGTAAAGTCAGTGGTGATGATATAGTCTTGGTTGTGAGCACTGAAATGGGTAGCTAATGTAGAGTAACAGACACAAGTATCAGAAGCCATCAAGGAACTGAGACAAGGGAAATGGACAGGTCATCCATGTTGTTATGAACTGAGTGATTGTATCCCCTTAAAATTCATATGATGAAACCCTAATCCCAATGTGATAATATCTGGTGGTGGTGCCTTTGGGCTGTAATTGGGTCATGAGGGTAGAGCCCTCAGGAACAGGATTAGTGCCCTTATAAGAAGAGGCCAAAGAGCTAGCTAGGTCTCTTTCCCCCATGTGTGGACATAGCAAGAAGACAGCCATCTGCGACCCAAAGGACAGTCCTCACCAGAACCTGACTATGCTGTCATCCTGATCTCTGACTTCCATTCTCTAGAATGGTGAGAAATAAATTTCTCCCGCTTAAGCCACCGAGTTCATGGCATTTTGTTATAGCAGTCCCAACTGATTAGGACAATGGTGAAATAACAAAGAATGAGCAGTATGGGTACCTATAAAATGTGAAAAATGTGTGATCACCAAAGTCCACAGACCGCCCTCTAAAAAAAGGGAAGATGTGGTCCAGTTGCCCAAATTAACCACAGATACAACACCCACCCACACCCACAAACTGTCTGACCTTCACTATGATCCAGTGCAATTGTCTGTTCGATTTCTGCATAGCTATGACTGATGCGCTCCTGGAGAGGCTCTGTGCTGGCCTCCATGAGATGAACGATATCCATTCGGTTGATCTTAGTGAGGCATTCAATGAGACTGGTATCTGGGATAGTAGAGAAAACTCATTTATTACTTTTGAGGGGTAAGAACTGTTTTTAAGATCTCTTTCATTTAGTTGTCTTACTAAGATTTTGATATTTGTACAGGAAACAACCAAAGCTTAATTAAAGGTCTTTATAAAAAATAAGCAAACAGAAAAGATACATGCATAGAAAGGTGGGAAAGCATTAGGCATAAGCTCTAAAATAGAATTGCCAGATATTACATGGGACACACTGTCAAATTTGAATTTCAGATAAAACAAATAATTATAAAGTATAAATATATCCCAAATATTGCATGGAGGGTACCGCGACTAAAAAACTATTTGTTGACCCTCTGAAATGTAACTGGGCGTCCTCTAGTTTCATTTGCCAAATCTGGCAATCCTACCTAGGAGAATGGCATGAGTGGGAAAGGCAAATGTAGACTGGCTATAAATAAGGGAGCTTTCTAGGTGATCTTCAGAGAGACATTAAAGGAAGTAGCAAATTTAGACTAGCTGAAGAATGAGATGAAGTAATTGTCTTTATCACTTCTCATTTGATTTGATGTGGTCAGAATATTATATGCAAATCATTATAAAGAATATCTACGTGACATCTTTCCCTCAATTAAGTTATTTAAGAGTAAAGGAAGTAGGAACTGAAGGCAATGCACTACCAGTAAAACAATGACAAAGGAACAGTGTCCACTCTCAATATTTAGACAATTTTAGGTCTTTAGTAACATTTCTATTAGCAGCCAGGGTTTCCCCTAAATTGACATTGTTCATGGGAATATAGTGTAAGAACTGTTATGCAAGATGCGTATTTTAGAAATGTCATAGCTTGCTCTCATTTGCTTACGGCAGTATTTCAGATTGATGGCATTCGTTATTTTATTGTTTTACTGAATTTAAATGAAAGGGCTTGTTGAGCAAGACTTAGAGCTCAACCTTTCGCCTAATGCTTTTCACATAGAGCTCCCCACCTACCTGTAGCCTGCCTCCCATCCCTTTCCAGCCAGTACTTCAATAGTGCATGGCTCTGGTCTTGCAGGGAGTTAGGGTTCTCAATTCGGATTTGATGAATCTGCTCCTCAGTGAAATCCAGTTCTCTTGCTAATTCTAGAAAAGAAAATATTACTCCATAAATACCAGAACTTCAGCGTCTCCACACCTGGCTCTGTGATTTTGTAAATGATGCGTTCTTTCTATTGCCGTAATAGTGTTCGTTTTCTCCCCCTGTGCATTAGAAGTGACTCTCAAGATGACTTTGTTTTTCTGTCCCTAACTGTGGAGGTTCTCCTTAAAACTAGGTATGGAATTCGGCTGGCTTTCTGCTCAGCAGGGAGCCTGCTTCCCTTCCTCTCTCTCTCTGCCTGTCTCTCTACCTACTTGTGATCTCTGTCAAATGAATAAATAAAAAATCTTAAAAAAAAAAAACAACTAGGTATGGAGTTGATCACATTCACAGTGGAAACACTACATTTGAGGCAACGGATGATAAAACGTGCCTAATTCAGGCCCATTTAATTCCAAAATGCAGACTGGACCGTTAATACAGGCTTATACTCTTAACCAAGATAATGGAAAATAAATTACTGAAAACAGGAGTAACAGACTTTCTCACTTTTAATCATCATTAAATAATGTTTTAAGTACTGTAAATCCTATTTCTGGATATTTGGATAAAGGCTGGCTGTGGTTATATTACATTGGTTGGATAAACTTTCTTTAATTTGATGTCACTTGAATAAAAGCTCTGGGAAGCATTAATTGACCTAAGGAAAAAGCCACAAAATTTTCCTTTAAAGTCTACCATTAACATAGTAGATGGACACTTATACACTGTGGTGTGTATGTGTCTGTGTGCAAATAAGTACTCTTTGGATGGCAATCAGCAAATATCTTTCAGAATTAAAAACATACATACCCTTTATTCAGATATTCAATTCTACTTCTAGTAACATGCCCTATAGAGATTCTCATGAAAATACATCAATGCACTACGATATTTGTCATTAACAGGAAACAACCTAGATGTCCAGCAATAAAGGCCACTGATAAAATTATGACACTATCACACAGTAAAACTAAATAGCGTTTCTGAGAATGAGATAGATATTTCTATGCTGATGGAATATTTACAAGGAATATTATTGACAGAAATTGTGCTTATTTTAAAATACTAAACCTAGATGGTGGTACTGCATATTTTTTTCCTGAATACATAAGAAAGTGGAAGCAGTTACTTTTTTTTTTTTTTTAAGATTTTATTTATTTGACAGAGAGAGAGATCACAAGTAGAGAGAGAGAGGAGGAAGCAGGCTCCCCACCTAGCAGAGAGCCTGGTGTGGGACTCAATCCCAGGACCTTTAGAGCATGACCTGAGCTGAAGGCAGAGGCTTAACCACTGAACCACCCAGGCAGCCCAAGCAGTTACTTTTGAGGTATGAAGCTAGAAGACCAGAGGCAGGTATGAAAAACTTCTTTACACTTTCAATTTTCTACCATCCTGTATGGTTGTGGGGTTTGAATTTTCAACAAGTACATAGATATTACATTTTATGCACAAACATACACATACTTAAGAAACAAAATAAATAATTCCGGATGTCACCTATTTAATTAGTCAATCAAGGATATTTTGATGTCCTTCCTTCCCCCTAAATCCCTCAATTTAAAAAAAAACGTGATCAGTATTTAACAAGTACTTAAATGTGTAAAAGTGAGGAAATGACTATTCTTTCTGCCCTGTTATTAATTATCTTTGTTAAGGGTCTTAGGGATTTCTATTCATATTGATTTTACAATTCATTTTCTTTTAATAATTTTACATACATTGCAATTTTTATACTTAAATATCCTATTTCTCAGAAAATTAGTGAAACATCTTATTTCTGTGTATTTCAACAAGCAACCAAAGCAAATTTAGTACTGTTCACAATGAAGATATCTGATATAAGGTATCTAAAATAAAGAGACCTGGGTTAAATCTCCAACTAAATTTTGTGACAACTGCATCTAACAATGACTCTGAAACACAGTAATCCCCTCAAAATTTGGATATCCATGGCTCCCAGTAGAGGAGAGTAACATTTGGTATATTCTCAAAATCCCCCAATTTAAAGGTCGATTTTTCTAAATTCCAGAGATAACAGAAGGCCTGCCTAGATTTTCTAGTTCAGAGTTTATTGTTCTTTTCACTATTCCATGTGGTCTCACCCAAGGAAACAAATACTTTTTCATTGTTAATGACACTTGGCTGATGCAATTGTGTTTCTTAAACGAAGCAACATTTGTTGAAAAAATAAGTCACACTAATTTTACCTGTCCAGCTGAAGCCAAGATGATCAGCAATATAAGCCAGCCTTTCCTCGATCCGTTCCTGCTCATCCTGTTGATCTACAGAAGGTCAAAAACAGAATGGCCAAAGGTTGTCTACGACAGGAGAGCAACCACAGTACTGATCATCCAAAGAAAGGAAGTCACTTGTCCAAATATTTGATAATAGCACAAATTAGCTATTATATTTCAAATCATTTTAAATTGTGTGTTTGTCTGATTTCTGGAATGGAATGGGGAATCAATTTAATTATAAATCATGAAAACCAACTGCTTCCATATCTCTTTAATCAAGACTAGTCACTGGACATATTATAAAAGTTGTTGATTTCTAGTAATCTTAGGACTTTCTTTTTAAATTATCTGAGCAAATACTGCCCACCAGAAGACAGTTGTCTTGTTCATCAAAAACTAGAAAAATCATAAATAGGATGCCGAAGTAGAGTAACTGGTTAGGACCTCCTATTATTGCCTGTGGCAGCATAGATCACTTTCGGGTTATGTCTGAAAGAAATCACATCCAAGATTTATAAGAGACATAGATCATGAGTTAATCAGGCCATCCTGTTTTTTTGTTTGTTGTTTTTTGTTTTTGTTTTTGTTTTCAGTCTGGCCAGAGAAATTTTCCTTGGTCCTGGTGACCCTGGAAGAAGGAAGGATAAAAGCATATATACTTGTGTCTGTTGTATCAATAGGTATAGATGTCTTTTGTGTGAAATTTCTGTCTGCTTACTACTAGGTAAGCTTATATATTATTCCCACAAGCTGTCATTTTCCCCTTGGTTTTTAACCTCCATTAATTGATGGGCAGCATTTTAGGTATCATGACATTTTCCTATGACACAAATTTAAGAATAATAGTCTTTATTGCAGAGATATTGGAAGACCAGAGGCTACTTCTCAAAGCCATCTATGGTTTCCTTTTTTATAATTCAAAGGGTCATCATCCTCTCACAGTCACTTACATCATGCAAAGTTTGAGTTTTTGTTGTCTGCTACATCTAATCAGAATATATTCTCCATTCACCTAACACTAAAACAAAGAGCATGGTTTTTTGTTTAGTTTAGTTTTGTTTTTTGCTTTATATTTGTTTGCTTTGAGTGTTTACCAGTGGTATCTGAGATCCAACCTTTTGAATCAAAAACAGATCCACAACAATTGGGATTTCATGATAATGTGAAATCTTCTTGGGCAAATGGCTTCCTAATGATTACAAATTTATTGAGTACAAATTATTTTAAAATACTTAAGGGTAAGAAGAAAAAGCTATGAATCCTTACCATATGAAACAAAGCCCAACATATTCATGTGCAAAAGCACAAGTGCCTAATTTGAGGGTAAGCCTGGGATTCCAGAACAACAAAACTCAAAGCTTGCATGGCCTGACGTGCAGCGGCTCGAGAAAGGCAAGATCACCATTGCCTGTTTATTATGTTTATGTTTTCCATAAGCATTCTCATTACTCAATCTTGAGATTGTTTTCATAGACAAGAGTACACAGAGAAAGCACGAAACACAAAGGGCTTACACACAGTAACCACTACAGAAAGCTTAAAGAAAATGAGACACAAATCACCAAATAAAAGATATACAAAAAAAAAAAAAACTATATCAAATTTATGACATGCGTAGCACAGGGAATCCCAGTGGCTGGCAAATACCTTCAGCATGGTCATGGCCATTTTCATCAGGGATGCGTTCAATCAGAGTCTCAATGGACTCATCCCAAATAGGCCTTGTGTCAAAGATGTCCTCAGGAATTGAATGCTCGGTCTCAACAGGTGGCAGATTTTCAATTACTGAAACTTCCAGGGCACTACTACTTTCATCATCCGAAACTAATTCTTGCTCCCTTTCTGACTGTGTAAGTCTATCCACTAACTTGGAAGCCTCATCACTAATCTCCTCAAAGAATTCTATGGAGTTCCTGTAAAGGTCAAAGAAATGCTCCTTACTTTCTTTTGTAGGGCTCACAGCCCCCTTGCAGGAAGATGTGTTGCTTTTGCTCTTAACTGGCAATCGGGATGTAAATATCTTTGGTCTGGTGGCCCCCTCTTCTGATTCTAACTCCAGCTCCTCTGCCCTTTCTCTGTTCTCTGTTTCTGTCTCAGTGTAACTTGTAGTTTTTACTAGACATTTGGTCTCTGAGTCCAAAGCACTGGTATCAGATTCAGATTTGCTTCTACTATCTGGTGTTCTGCTTGTCATGTCCTGACCCTGAGGAGCCACTGTTTTCTGGAGAGAGGAATCTAGATGTGAAAGCGGCTGCTCTACTCTTTGGACAGGTGCTTTCACGGGGATTTTAGACTTTGGTTTTGTTTCATCCTCTTTACTTTCCTCATCCAGACTGGGTAAAAAATCTTCAGAAAGGGAACTCTCATTCTCCACAGATGGAGATGCTGGGGTTGATGTGGGTGTAGTCCTTACAGGAATTTTGGATTTGCTTTCAGTAGAAGGCACATTCTCCATGGGTGCAGTAGGGATTTCAATTACCGATTTCTGTTCCTCTGGGGAAGAATCAGGAGAATCATCATCCCGATCTGAATGCACGGACCTGGTAACTGTGGAAAAATCTAACTGAACGTGTACAACTGGTTCAGGGGAGTCAGGGCAAGATGGCTTTTTCACACTAGACTTAGGAGGCATGTCATCCATTTGTGTGGTGGGAAGGTCCTTGGCGCCTTCAGAAGGAGCCTCTTCTGTTGATGTTTCAGTGGAGGTTGAATTCCCCATGTGGGTGTTGAGTTGAGCATCTGAAGCAGACTTTTCCTCTACTTCCTCACTCAGGTCATCTGGAAGTAAGTCTGCTTCATCACTAATTGTTTCTTTTGATTCTGAGAGAGCTAGTGACTCAGCTGATGTCTCCCGTTGTGGGAGCTCAGCCCCAGGACTCCCTTCCTTCATGTCTTCAGAGAGAGTCTCTTCCCTGGATTCTTGCCCAATTTGGAAAAAGTGAAAACTTTCATCGGCATAGGACCTTTTGGTCATGTCAATGGCGCCACTTCGGGTCATCTCAAACAATTTTCCTTCCTGAAAGAGAAATGGGTTTTGCTCACTGGTCGGAGTCCCCTCCTCAGTTGGGGTCCTTGCAGGAGTAGTGTCAGGGGTGGTACCCTGTGATTGTCTGTCTACCATCAAACCAAATATCTTTTGTTCTTCCTCTTTCACTCGAGCCTCAAAGGCTTCATCATCCTCACGGATTTCACTCCAGGAATCAGAATCCACATCTGTTTTTGTGATGATGACTTTGCTGATTTGGTCACTAACAACTACTGATGTATTTGGTACAGAAGGCTCTAAAGATGAAGGGGCTTGATCTGATCGCTGTTCCCACAAGGTGCTTTCTTGTTTGGATTCTTCTTCCATGTTTTGGTGCTCAAAATTAGATTCTTGGATTGAAACAGTTGTACTGGAGGAGCTTATTACTACCGTGTCTTCAACAGAGGATGTGATGGTAACAGAATGCACTTCCGAAGACTTAAAACTTGCATGTCCCGCATCTGTTTGAGTTTTGCTTTCTTCACTGGAGAAAAAAGATTGGGAAGGAACATTTTCATAAGGGCTTATTATTTGAGGATCGTAGATTTCATCAGGCTCAGCAGGGTCAGACACTGGGACATCCATGGACAATATATCTGTTTGAGTAGTAATTGATGAGTCTTGCATGGAAAAGTCCTTCGGTAAGCTCTCAAAAGCTTGGTCAGTTTTGATGTCCTCCATTTTTGTAGCAGGAGATAGAAAAGATATGTCTTCATCTAATTCTTGTCCTTCAGATGCTGGACAGTGAGGCAAGGAGGAGGACAAAGACGAAGAGCTTTCACTGGGGCAATCTACTTGTAGAGATGCCACTGGAGAAGCATCAAGCTCTTCTCCTTCTGTGTCTTTTTCATCAGTGTCTTGCAGAGGTATTGATTCCTCAAGGATAGCTAGATTCTCATTGAAATCCTCCCTAGGGGAGCTGTAGAGACCTGAAGATACGGGAGTGACTGAGCTGCTAGGACTCCTGGTCTCACACCCATGGCCCTCACAGACTTCTGGTTGATCAGCATCTCTGTTTAGATCATCATAAGACCTATCTGGGCCATTAGTAGAAATACTATGACTCTCTTCAGGTACATGGGATTCACAGTCTTTTTCTTCTTCTGATTTACCACACTCTTCCTGAGTATCCTCATTCATTTTGAAAGTGTATTGTTTAGAAACAATGGGTTGAAACTGTACTTCTTCAGGACTGGAATTGGAGTCTACACTGGATGGAAGTGGAGAAGGAGGCTGTACTCGAATAACTGGCTCTGGTAAGAGGCCTGTGTCACCATCGTTTTTCAGCTGTGCCAACTCAGGTTCACTCTCAGAGGAGGAAGAAGCCTTTCTGCTCTCTGATGTTACTACCACAGGGACATTGCTTTCATCCTCTACAGTCTCCATATGTTTTGGTTCATCCACATCTGCTGAACAGTCAGCATCTGGGTCAGAGGATGAAGAAGATTCTTCTTGCTTGGGTTCTTTCTTGTAGTCCCTTTTCTGCTTTGCTTCTTGTTCAAGTTCGTCAAACGTTTTGATTTTGGTTACCATTTTAAACATTTCCTCTTCAGGTGTGAATCTCTTTTTGTCCCCATTTTCCAAGTCATCCTCCTCTGCACATTCATGAATTACGGCTGGCTTGGGTGTGCTTGCATCTGTGGCTTTGGGTGTGACCTCATAGCTAATTTCTTCCGAGCTAGGGGTGTCTGGAGAGAGGGGGCTCTTCCCAGAGCTCTCTACCAATGACGTCTGCTCAAGACTGTCATCCTCGGCACTGCCATCTGGGTCTCGGAGCAGCCGGGACCGCACAGAGGCCACCTCCGTAAAGAGTTCTGTTTTGGCTACGGCTGCAGGAAGAGGGAAGTGACTTGGGAGAACTCCAGCCTTCGTCTTTGGTTCTACCGGGCTGCTTTCTAGAGAGTCGCGGCAAGGGGATTCTTTCAGAGGACTTGGCTCCAGAGAATCCGGAGTTTTGTGTGAGGAGTTATCCTCCAGCACAGGGCTGGCTTCCAAGGAGTCTCTATGGCTCACTGCAAATGATTCATCGGCACCAGGGCTGAGGACCTCACTGTCTCGGCTGGGGAGTGCAAGTTCTAACCCTTGGGGACTTCTGGCAACTCCCTGGGGCTTTGATTCAGTTCCTGTGCCTGTGTTTACAAAAGCATCAAGCAGTGGAGAGGCCTTTGTCTCATCTGAGGGCTCAGTGGTTGTAGATTTCTGAGCTTCAGAATCAGTGTGCGTCTTCTGGGCAGAACCAACATTCGTAAGTTGACCCTCATCAGAGGATGCTTCCTCAGTCACTCCTTTGGGTGTTTCTTTTGCTAGTAACACACTACAGCTGCCAAGGGAATCATCCTCTTGTCTGGGACATGTGTCTTTGGAAGGGTCTGGGGTGGCCTCCTTCAGTGAACACTCAGCTGAGGGCTCTGTGCCTTCAGTGACCATGGCACCTTGTTCTTCAGAACCATCAGTGATGTCTTTGATTGAGGGATGGTCTTTTTCTGAATGAGCTGCTGTTGGTGTTTCTGACTTGGTTGTTTCGCTTCTTTCCCCAATTTGCTCCTCACTTTTCTTTGGTGAGAAAGAAAGGCTTTCTGGGCTTGTCTCAGGGGTCTCTGCGAGGCCCTCGTGCTTATAGCTTTCTTCTGAACTAATCTGAGGGGTCCCTTCCATCAGGCTGCCACATGGAGAACCTGCCACCCCTTCAGGCTTGAGGCTCTCAGAACTGCCATCCAAAGCACCACTTTGTAAAGACAGAGCAGGAAGAAATTCATCTTTCATGTAATCTAGTGGAAATGTCGTGTTGAAAGGACTAGTGAGTACCTCATCTAAGTGAAGCTGTGCTTCTTCTGTCTCCTCAGTCCTTCGGAATTGTTGGTATTTGTCATTGTCTTCCAATTCTTGCTTAATGACGTCAGAAAAGTCAGTGGAAGTTTTCCTATCTGGGCTGATCTGGAGGTCCATGTCTCCCTGTTCATCAGTCAGCTTTTCTTTGGGAACGTTACTCTCTTTATGGCTTTCTTCTTCTGGTGCTGACTGAACAGGTTCAGGTGTTTTGTGGCTAAGAGCTTTCTCCTTCTCTACAACTAGATCTTCTCTCTTAAACCCTACGGAGGAAGCACGGACTGCTCTCTTGGATTCGGAAACTCCTGTTACCACAAATCTCTGGCCTCGTTTGATTGTCTGACTCTCTGTTTTCTGTGTTTCTCTGTGGTTTAGCATCTGCCCCTTTTCTTTTTCTACCCGAGCTTTGCCTTTCTCTTGTGGCTGCTTTTGCTTTGCTGATTTGTGCTCAAACAGTCCAGTCTTGTGTTTAGAGGGGTCCTGACCTGACTGGAAAGCTTTCATCAACTCCCGAACAGACATTGTCTCCTCGATTCGTTCTGTTTTTGAGGTGGGGGAGACAGGTGGTTGCTTTTCTGTTTTCCCAGAAGGCGACACGGGCAAGTGTTTCTCAGTTTTCCCGGAGGCTGATACAGGTGGATGCTTTTCCGTTCGTCCAGCTGTTGACACAGGCAAGCGTTTTTCTGTTCTCCCAGGTGATACTGGTGCATGTTTCTCCATTCTCCCAGAGGGCGAAACAGGTGGGCGTTTGTCCATTTTACCTGAAGGTGAAACAGGTGGGTGTCTTTCTGTTTTTGTAGATGACACAGGGGAGTGCCTTTCAGTTTTTGTCGAGGGTGACACAGGCAAGTGCTTCTCGGTTTTATTTGATGACACAGGGGAGTGCCTTTCAGTTTTTGCAGAGGGTGACACAGGTGAGTGTTTCTCAGCTTTACTTGATGGTGATACCGGAGGGTGCTTCTCAGTTTTTGTAGAGGAGGAAAGAGAAGAGTGTCTCTCTGTTTTAGAAGAGGGTGATGCCGGTGTGGGCCTCTCTGACTTCAGAGAGGGTGATGCAGCTGGATGTGTCCTGTGGGTTATCTTTTTTGGCACATCCTCTTTGCCTTTGACTCTGACAGGCAACTTGCTTCGACCTTTTTGTTCATCTTCCACTCGTTTCTGAAGGGCCTTTACTTTGTCCTTTATGGAACCAATGGGAGTCTCTTCTATCAAAGGTGAAGTGGCCTTAACAGTGGGGAGGGGTTCGGGGGCTAAACCTGCATCATCATCTAATGACTCTTCTGAACTACATTTTTTAAGTTCACCTTTTTCTGCACTACCTTGTACACTTTCCTCTTTTTGTTTTTGTTTTTCTTTTAATTTCCTTCTCACTGGCTTCTTTATTCCCAGGCTTGGTTTGTGCTGTTTCTGGGCACTCTGCGTCTCATGTGGGGGTGCATCTTTCCCTTCATTTTCAGAGCTCCTGCCAGTAGCCAGAGCGTCACGTTTCTCCCCTGCTATCCCTTGAACTGTCTGCGGTGGCTTTTCATGAGGAGACACATAGGAATTTAGATCCTCAGTAAGGTAGTTCACTAGCCCCGTTGAGTCTTTCTCTACTTTGATGTTGCGCTCTTTATCTATTCTAACTTCTACGCATGGGTATTCGGTGATTTCTAAAGGTGCTTTTTGCTTAGCCTCCTCTATTTCCTCATCACTGACAATCACCCACTCCTCTTCCTCTAATTCTTTCTCCGACTGAGACCTCGGCACACTGCCTTCATCTCTCGCGCAGGTTCCACTTCTCAGGATTTCATTCACTTTCTCTAAGTCCTCTTTAACTCTTTCAACAATTTCAAAAGGCTCTCCTGGCTCTTCCTCAGCAGCCTTCACCAGCTCCTTCACTTTGATAGAACCTGCCCTATCAGATACATCTGTGGTCAAGATGGCGGTCATTTTGATCAAATCTTGTTTCATCTCAGAAACTTCAGAGAGCAAGTCCGGACTGGCTAGGACAGGAACTTCATTAACCAGGTGACTTTTCAGGACAGATGTTTCTGTAGATTCTGTCTCATCATCTTTGATGTGAATGAAAAACATTGAAAGTAAAATGGAAATCAAAAAAATATATTGGCAAATGTAATCAGGACTGAAACGACACAGTGTCTTTTCCTGTTGTGGTGGGAGGGACAACAGAATGGGCCGGGAATGGTGGATCCACAAGGTCTCAGGATACAAAAGCAAAGCAAGGCTAACAGAAAAATTAAAAAAAAAAAAAAACAAAAAACAAAACTGAAAAGGAAAAATGAGCAGGAAATAACTTGCTTAATTTTCTCACTCATAGCACATCCACACATACAACAAAGCTATAACAAACAGCCACAACAGACAGACAGAGACACACACACCATCACAGATCGAAACAAAGAACAAACGCAGTGAAATTACACAGAAATATCTCAAGATTGTTCAGATGTTACAGATCAATGTTGAAAAAAATATAAACATGGGGAAAAAAAAGGAAAAAAAAAGCATTAGAAATTGCAGAAAGTTGATTTCCTCTAGGAGAAAGCCAGTCGTAGCAAACTCAGATTGCCTCCTAATGATGTATACATGTTTTTTAATCATATGAAAATCCAGAATTCAGTGTTTTGTTCTGCCAATATACAATGACTATATAAAAGATGTCTGAATCAGCTGCAAACTGGCATTTCATCTAAGGAAAATTCACACCTAACAATGAAACGAATGGTCTTGTGCTAAGAGGCATGATCCTTTCCTTGGAGCAACCTCCTGGTTTAGACACATAAAGGACAGACCAAGGAGGGAAATAAAGGAAAGGAAAGAAGAAAACAACAAAACAACAACTGTGATTAAACTTATAAGTGAGTCCAAAGTTAAAATGTGATGCGTGGCAATCCAAATCAGAGACAGTCACACGGGACACACGCACAGTTTATGTAAGCCAAGTTATTTCCATGCAAAGCAAAGGTGGAAGGAAACTGGTGGGAGCGGTGGCTTTGCTGAAATGTGCGGGCAGGAGGATGGTTAAGAAATTAGAACAATATGGAAACATTACTGTGGTGAAGCGTATTCCTTTCCCTACAAGTCTGTACCTCAGTGCTGAATGCAGTAGTATATTTGAAGGACAGGTAGTAGGGACCTGCACCCATTCAAAGCAAAAAGGAGAAGTTGGTCAAACTCTTTTAGGATTTGCTCTTGAAAAGACTTAGGAAAGAGTTCCTTCACTAGAGCCCTTCTTTATGGATTATTTTATACCTAGATGAAGATTATTTAAGGATTATCTTTAAACTAAAAAAATGCATCTAAGTTTAAACTTTAAAAAATATTCACAACACTTAGGAGTCATTTAGGAGAATCTGTGGCATTATAGCAATATAGTAGCTTTTCCCCTTTTCTTTTTTAAGTAACTGAGCCAGAAGGATGTATTAAACTTGAATTTCTACTAGCTAGTGTTCAAGAGACAAAGGAAAGGGCCATTTAAATAGACATAGTAGTCCTGAAGAAGAAAATGGGATAATAAAATATCTTTTCTTTAAAAAGGAATTAATTAAAGCAACAATAATGTCACTTTTTTAACAAATAAGAGTCTTCTCTTGAGAGAATCGGTACTTGTTGAGGAGATATACTCTGTGACTATGCATATATATATTAAAATAATTTATATTAATGCAAATTTGTTCAAGTACAAGCCAAATGAAAACATCCAGAACCTCAAATAATCTAGTCCTGAATGACGATTTAACATAAGAGCAAAGAAACTCTCAATTAAAAGCATTCTGGGGGTGCCTGAGTGCCTCAGTCCATTGAGAGGCTGCCTTCTGCTTCAGGTAATGATCCTGGAGTCCTGGGATCGAGCCCTGCCTTGGGCTCCCTGCTAAGCAGAGAGTCTGCTTCTCCCTCTGTCCTTCACCCCCTGCTCCTGCTCTCTCTTAAATAAATAAATCTTTAAAAAAAAAAAAAAAAAGCATCCTAATAACTTACATTGTACTAGGTCTTCAAAACGAACGAACAAAAAAAGCCCCAGATCATTGCATAGGGCCAGGTGACCATATTAAATGTGCTCCTAAGTTTTCTCCTTTTGGGAATAGCAACCTGAAATTCAGTGAATCAAAATGAACTTTTAAGTGAATAAAAAAATAAAAATTAGTATTTTTTCCCCTAAACTCTTTGGGGGCATAGAAGCAAGAAAGAAACCTGAAAATTTTAACTTTTTCCACACAAGAAACCAGTCACCAGAAGTAGGTCCCAAAACTAAAATGTTAATTAATTATTACAAACCCAAAATGAGTTCTAAGATCGCTCCCTTAAGGTCTGTAAAAACCAGTTCTCTCTGTACTAAATTATATTTGGGATTTGCATCATTATTTAAAATTAGCCCTATAATGGTACAATGTTGCGATTAGTAATTTCATCCAGGAGGTTTTGATTTTTGCATTCTTGGTTTTTTTTGTTTTTGTTTTTGTTTTCCAGAAAGTTTCACAGAAGTCTGTTAGACCTCAGCCCTAAAGAAGTCCATTACACTTCACCACAGTAAGAGGTGCAAGGTGGTGGGGTGGGGGAGGCTGAGCTTTAGCTGAGAACTATTGAGACAGTATCACTTTCACAGGTGTAGCCTACAAAAATAATGAGAGCTCTCCCCAAGTCAGTGTTGCTTAATATAAAAAGTGATACTGTCATGTCAGTGCTTAAAAAAAAAAAAATGAGATGACAATGTTATGCTAACAAAAGGACAAAAACGGTAGGGTGGGTTTCTAAACAAGCGTAACAGCAATAGCAGGGGTAACAGGGGTATCAAAAGAAAGTGAATGCTTAGATGAATAATCATTGCATTTTACTGCTAATTAGCTCACAAATTAGGTTTTTTTGTAATTTAACTGGCCAAGCTGCTTCTCTAAATATACATTAATGATTAATAAGGACAATATAAAAATATAATTATTATAGTGGTTAGTAATGGCATCTAGCTGCATTTTAATTCATGCTTCTCTTTAGTGTAGCCAGCTTTCAAACAAACTCAATTTTATTTAAAATCTTACTTTTTTCTGATGTCATATCGATCTGAAAGAAAACATACATAAATTGAATGGTTACAAACTGCACCTGGTTTCCCCCTGATGTGCAAATAAGCTCCTATTCGTGACCACACCCATGGGGAGATGACAGAAGCTAGAGAAGGTCAAAGTAATTTGCTACAGTTCTTCCTGAGAGTCTCCTTGATTCTCATCCTAACTTTGAAAAAACAAATCTCCTTTCTAGACTTTATAGGTGGAAAGCATTTTTTAATGTTATTTCCAGCAAGATAGGATCGAGGGTGCGTTTAATGTTAGAAATACATGTGTATGAGGGAAAAGGCCAGGAAAAGAGTGAGGGGGTGGGGGGCGGTTAAACAGTGTCAATTTAGTTGAGAAAAAGAAAGAAGGAACAGCATGCCAGGGTAATACATTCTATAGGAGTTTCATTGTCATTAATTACAAACCAAGATTCCAAATCCTGAAAAGAATACCAACTGGATCTATTGTCCTGCACAACTCCTGAAAAGTACTCAATAGAACAATCATAAACCTAATGCAAGAAGCTCACTTAAATATAGCAAAAAATGGTTTTATAATTGCACTGCTTTTCTAAGAAGGTGTGTAGGTACCATTTTGAACAGGTTTGGTAAGGGGGTCACCAAGTGCAGGAAGGAAACAGTATGTGAGACAAAGAGTGGCTGGACAATCGAGGGAAAGGATGACATCTGTCCTGTCACAATTACTGCACATATAGTTATATACAGCAGGACAATGAGGCTATCATCTCCCCTCTTGTCCTGCTCCGCTGCCAGGGCAGGAGTCAAAAGTAAATTCAGGGCAATTCTCTGCACTAAAAAGGCCTTACGTTTTAAGCTGGTGGGTACGAGGGTACTTATTAATTTTTCGTTATATGTTTTGGTGTTCCAAATCCATCAGAATAACACTAAAAATAGAATACAAGTACATTTGAAAATCTTTACATGCAACTAATAACAACTCCATTTGTCTATCTTAGAAACAGGAACCAATATATAAATAGGAAAGTAGACTGAATTTCCTATCATTTCTATGATGATGTTTGGGCATTCAAATCTTTATAAGGGAAACAAACACAAATGTGCCTGAACTATTAAAGAGGTCTTATTCAAATGGTTCTTTCTTCAAGGCAACCTCTTGAAGACTCACTTTCTTCATCTATTATAAGACAGCACAGAACTCACAGGGCAATTGTGAAGATCAGTGTTAATGAGGTACATGGAGCACTTAATAAAGAGTCTACCTTCTAAGAAGTGCTCATTATTAGTAGAGTTCTACATTATAATATTACAGTCTAATGGTTGAACTGCACAGTCCTTAAAGTTTTTAGTCTCAGTGGTTCTCAGACGTTTTGGTCTTAAGACTGCTTTACACTCCTAAAAATTACTAAGGACCTTGAAGAACTTTTATGTTTCATATATACAAGTAAATTTCCGTTTTATACATTAAAACTGAGAAAATGCTAGAACCCAAGTGCACACAAGGACCCACTCCAGAGTCAGAGTGATCATGTCATGATATGCAATGTAGCCTCTGGAAAACTCTATAGCTTGTGGAGACATGGGAGGCAAAAAACAAATAATGTCTTAGTAATATTAGGGGAAAAAAAAAAGTTTTGACCTCCGGGTATCGCCAAACCAACCTCTGAGAACTAAAATAATAGCTTGGCCTTCAGGAGTCAGTAGAGAAACATAAATTACTGCTCAGAGACAGGGTAACAGTTTACAGGGAAAGCTTTACTATTCCTTGAATTCAGTCCATGAGATGAGAAAACAGAGGCTCAAAGAGGTTAACTAAAACTGTGACCCTTCAGTTACTAAAACTGTATAACCCTTCTAAGAACACAGGTTAACTACGTGCTCTTATTAGCGGTTATAGCAAATACAGCCATCAACAAGTGACAATGTCATACAATTACCTCTTCTTCCTGTTCTTGATCTGACTCTGATTCCTTGCGGCCCCAAGATGCCATGCAAGATGGAAAAAAGAGAGCAGGAAGAGTAGAGAGTATTTAGAAGAGAAGATTAAATACACTGCCAACAAACATCAACAGGCAAGCATATAGTCAGCATACTCTTGTTTTTTCTTTTGACAGTTTATAGAAGACAGGCACAAAAATTTAAAAGGATTGATTTAAATATGGAAGTCTGTAGATTCAAGAAGCAAAAAAACCAAAATCATAAGTACACTAATTTATTAGGCAAAATAACTAAAATTACAAATACACTTATTTCAAATACTAGGTTACTAGAGCCTTAAAGCTTGCTAGCTAATGGATTTGATGCGTATGTCTGGAGAAATGGTGATGGTATATCCCAGTCATTACAGATACTGGCTAAAAACGTTAAAGGCCACAAATAAGCATATGGTGAAAATATTTCAAATACACAGGCAATATTTAGGAGTTCTATTATAATAAAGAACTACTCAATTTTAAAGTTTATCTGAAGTACATACAATGTTTGACATTGTTTTCCTTTTTGTTTTGAGTTACGAACTGGAAAGCTGTCCTGGACCATCATGGCGTTAATGATATGTTTCAACTTAGAAATACAGTGCAATAATAAAGTCAATGCTTTTATAGAACACTGAAAGTTCACTGAGACCAGAGACAAAGCTCATTCATCTGTATATGTCACTCAGGTGGGCTGCCCACAGTATGTATTTTGTTGTGCTTCTTATCGGGCCTTCCTCTTTGGTGACTCACAAATCTACAAACCCCAAAGTACATTTTCCATCACTGGAGTGAAATGAGATTATGTTCATTTGGGTGGTTATACCTATTGCTGTATTCCAATTACTGGAGTAACACATATGTTTACATCTACAGATAATATTTCATTTTTATCATACAATGAGAATCTGCAATGTTAAACCATGATGCTATGAGGTTTTCTCTGTGTGTCTGATCTCTATTTACAAGAATAATTGGTTAAGAAAAATAGACCATGGTGGGTAAAAAGAAGTGTCGAACATGTTTTGTTTTGTGGAGTCAAGATTTAGGGTTTTAAATATATTTAAATATATAAATGTTATAAATTTAAATATATTTCTACATCTCCTCCTCTTACCTGCCATTACTTGTCCCCCTCCCCAACCTCTAGTACACACACTGACAACCACTACAGCCCCCTATAGACCACCATGGCGGCAGGGGGGAGAATGGAGTTTCCCATTGAAAAGATGTTTGTTAAAATTTTTTTAAGTAATAAAAATTAAGTTATCCCCAACATTTAATTCGTTCAGTTGTTGTCTTCAACTTCATCAGAGTAAGCTAGGAATTCTGTAATGGTGAGCAGTCTGAATAGAAAGTAATATCTGTTAAGGAGAATTTGGGTCAGGAATTGATGAATTGTTCCTTTTCAACAATGTTTCAAATCTATCTCTTGTAACATAGGAGCATTTTGTACATTAATCATGTTAAAAATAGTTGAAAAATTAGTTTGATACCCCCAAATATTATGGATTACAAGATGAACAAGTATTTATTTTAGCAATAAGATTAAAAACTCATGAGGTTGCTCTAAATTTAATAATATATAATCTACCTGTGAATTGGCAGTGAACAGAAGCTAATGGACTCATAATACATTGCTAGGGCTAAATGGACTAGTATCATCCCAGAAGGGCACATAAAAACAATGAAGACAAAGCCAATTTATTTTTAAAAATTAGTCCCAAATCTTAAATTCATATTTTCTCTTTCCTAGCCAATATGTATTTATAAAAAAATTTCCATCAGAGCAAATTTAATGCAAAATAAAGGAGAGCTACTTTTTTTCCTTACTTAAATGGAAAATCAAAAATTTGACAGGGAATCAAAAATGATTGCTCCACATGCTTGCATTCAGTGCTTTTGTTTGACTTATTTTAAAGGATTTGAAAATTAAATCCTATAGAGACTGAATTGCACTACAACAGATTTGACAATACCTTTGTATAAATTGGCAGGGTGATGTTTAAGTTGCAAATAGCTTGATGCACCAGGCCTCTTGTGGATTTTGGCTCTTTCATAAATGATAGTCGCCCGCAAGGTTCCTGAGTCGTGTCGCGTACCTTGAATAAGAAAGGCATGTGTACTTCACCCACATGTGATATATGCTATTTATTTTAATTAGATGATACTCAAAAGAATGAGGAAAAAATAAATTCATTTGATAATGCCAAAGATTTAGAGGTGTTTCTTTCTCTATTTCTATATTCATTTAGAATGATTTTTTAAAGAATCATTCAGCTTTTAAAAAATTGTGGTAAAATACATAGACCATAAAATTTATCATTTCCATTTTTACACTTAGCATTTTTAAGTGTTCAATTTAGGGGCATTAAGCACATTTACAAACTTGTGCAATCATCAAATCTTTACTATGCAGAATTTGTCATCATCTCAAACACAAACTCTGTACCCATTAAATGATAGCTCCCCATACTTCTCTTCTGCCACCCTGAGTCACCTCTATTCTACTTTCTGTCTCTAAATCTGCCTCTTCCAGGTACCCTGAATGGATAGAGTTAGTTATACAATGTTTCTTCCTTTTCAGTCTGGGTTATTTTACTTAGCATGAGATTTTCACGCTTTAACCTGTTGCAACATATATCAGAATTTCATTCTTTAAAAGAATTGTGTTAAAACAGACGTTAACATAAAACTGATCATTTCCACCATTTTTACATGCACAGTGCAGTAGCAATAAATACATTCACACTGTTGTACAACCATCACTGCCATTCATCTTCGGAACTTCTTCATCTTCACAAACTGAAACTCTGTTTCCATTAAACAAGAACTTTCCATTCCTCCCTTCCCTCAACCCCTGGCAACCACCCTTCAATTTTCTGACTCTAGGCTTTTGACCTCTCTAGGCACCATATAAGTGGAAACAGAGTATTTGTCTTTTGTGTTTGTTAATTTCACTTAGCATATATCCTCAAGGCTCATCTCTGTTACATCATGTATCAAAATGTCGTTCTTTGTTAAGGCTCAATAATAGTCCATGTAAGTACAGACCATATTTTAACCATTCACCTGTCAATGGATATTTATGATGTTTCCACCTTTTGGCTACTGTGAATAATGCTCTTATGAACACTGGGATGCCAAGTAACTGTTCGAGTCCCTGCTTTCAGTTCCTTTGGGTATCTACCTAGAAGTGGAACTGCTGGATCATAATCTAACCTAGGTTTAAATTTTTGAGGAATCATCATACTGTTTTCCACAGTGGCTGCATCATTTTGTATTCCTACCAGCCATGATTAGGGTCCCAATTTCTCCACATCCTTGTCAACATGTATTCGCCATTTCATTTTATTTCATTTATATATTTATTTTTTAACAACTGCCATCCTAATGGGTACAAAGTATCTCATTTGTGATTTGAAACTGAATTTCCTTAAACTTGAATTTCCTTGAGCATCTGTTCATATGCTTATTGGTCATCTGTTTGCCTTCTTTGGAGAAATGTCTAAGTCCTTTGCTCATTTCTGTATTTGGTTGTTTATAGAATGACTTTTGCATATCAACAATATCAAGTATTAGCTTAATAATACAGCCATTAGAGTTAAATGGATCCTTTACCCCTCAGCAGTTATAGTTTAATGAGGTGATTTCTAAGAACCTATCTTTAATCATGTAAAACAATCAAACCAGAAATGGCACAACAAAGGACTCAATAGAGATCTTGGGAAAGCTTCATAGACTAACAATTTTAAAGAGATTTACTGACATATCCTTGGAAAATCATAAGGGATTAAAACGAGTCATTGCTAACAAACTAGGAATTTGTAGTCTGGAGTCTTTGCAGTAAAAAACTGTTGGAAACCAGCCTCCATCTTGTGAGAGTTGAACATTAGGACTTTCAGATCAGTGAAATAAACTGTGAGAAGCAAGGGAAAAAAATGAAGAGCTGGAGAAATAGAGCACAGTATTATTACTTCCTTTGCATTTTACCATCACACATTTTTGTCCCTTTTTATAACTGGACTCTGGAATGAAATATGTATATATCACTGCCAAACTCCTAACTTGGATTAATATTCTTAAACAGAGAAAACAAATTCACGGTGTACTGAAGTGTCTCCATAAATGTTTGTTGGATGAATTTATGAAAATATATCCAGTTCACAGCTCTATCTCAGATAACCTGTTACTAGATCAAGTGAGATCCTGGGTTCCTTCAGAGCTTTTATTACAAAGTATTGTCACTCAGGGACTCTTTTGGTCTCCACATAAAATTCATACGTTTTTAAAATTTAAGAATAAATATTTAAAAGAGATGATAGCAAAAAAGGAAAGAGAGACTTCCTGTAAAATTTGGAAAAAATGTAGCCAGTTTTTCTAATCAATGAATTGGCTATTTGTCTTAATTCTCAGCCTTGAACACCATCTATAAGTAAAAATTAAGGTTGAATTTGAACTTCAAAAATAAAAATGGTTGGCTCTATAGGACTTTAAAATTTTACAGATATGGTTTTAAAAAATTACTTCAATGACTGAAAAGCAAATATTATCTCCTTCTAAAGGAAATTGAATCCTCACTTGATCTTAAGTAAAATGCATTAGAAAAGGCCATGTATATACTACCTTGACAAAGAGAGGAAGTCGGTTTTCTTTGAAGGCAAAAAAACTGAAGATATGATGTTGGCCACTCTTGGTTAATGGCACCAGGTTGCCAAAACAATCAACATAGATGGGTTTTCCCTCTAGTACCTGGTGAAAACAGACAAAAGTAACACAGGACATAAGAGCTATAATTATTACTTGTCATTTACATTAAAAAGTGATGGTATTACTTGATACATCAAAATTCTTAAAATATACATCTTTAAATTGCTGACTGGCATTTTGTCTTATCTGTGACAAAGCACGTGCTAATACTCTCTCTTCTTACTGGTACAGGAATCTTCAAATGCATGGTGGCATTTAATGTTAATGTTTTCATTTCTAACACTGTTTCATGTTACCCACCCCATCCCCCCAAACTGGTATCTCTTTGAGTCCTAAATTTAAATTTCTGATTGGGTAGTTTTTGACACTGTAATGAGTTAGGTTACTTGACCTCAATATCCAAAGGCCCACAGAAAGAAAATTCTGAAATACGAATAAGTAATATAGAAAGCCCTGGATTTGATACATTCACATTTATAGAAAGGATATGCTTCCTGACTGTTTTCTTAAGTATTAAAAATAATAAAAGCAACAAGGAAAGATAAAGATACCTAAACTATTATAGTAACTTACATACTTTACCAGTAACTTGTAATTTGTCCCAAGATAATTTTATGAGAATCCCTTTACCTCCTCACATACACTGTATATCCCTATATCCAAACTGGCTAAAAATGGCAGATTTTGGACCTTGACCTACTAACTGATCAAAGTGTGGACTGGTCTTTTTTTCCTTATGGCTCTATTTATTAAATACTATATTAAATATAATCTATTAGTAAGGGCATAAACAACAGGTTAACATAAATTATTTTTGTAAATACAGTACCTCTACATCCCTGCTTCTGGCCACCTCAGCAAAGTTTTCTTGTTGTTCTAGGGTCTTATCCACTTTATCATCAGTCATGCAGAAACATCTCAACCTGGCTTCAATGGGGTCATGTGATTTGGCAAACACGACAAATTTGGCCATATACGGTACACAGATAATTTCCCTATACACTTGTGATGCAAAGGTAACAGATTCCTGGATTTGTCGACAATCTATCAGCCAGAACCTATAAAATGGAATAAGGTCAGTTACCATACGAAAAAAAAAAAAAAAAAAGAATAAGGTCAGTTATCTGAAATTTAAAGTACACCAATTGAATAAGAAAACAACAGTCCTCTCATTATGATCAAAATAATCATTAAATGTTTTTTGGAAAAAGAAGGGAGAGAGGGAGAGGAGAGAAATTAAAGGAAAGACAAAGTGAAAGAAGGAAAAGTAGAAGGATAGATAGTAAGGAAGAAGGGAGGGTGGGGAAAAGAGAAAGATTAGATGTTTAAGATCAACTAACAAATGCTGTATTCATAATTTTCTTCCTTGGAGGATCATCTGAGTATTGAATCTTCTCAACTATACCTCAGAGCTTTAGAATCTTCTAGCATGTAAGCTCAGTGTCAGACATGACAAGGATCTCACTGAATTGAGAGTTTCTATTTTGATTCCCTCTCCTATTCTTTATTTCATTTCCTGAAACCCTTTCCAGTAAAATCTACCCAGCTTTTCTTCATTCTTTTCCAACAACCTCTCCAGTTGTCAAGGTGAAATAATCCCATTTTTTAAAAAATTGCTTTTGCTCCAGAACTTCTAAACATTGCTGAACATAATTCCTAGAAGAAATCATCTGTTTTGTGACCAATTTATGAGTTCTAGCCTCAGCTAAGTCTATGACTTGCCTGGCAACTTTTTCTTCAGATATTATTTTATTCTGTTTAGTAACTTTGCTAAACCTTTAGGACACTCCTTGAGCTCTTGCCTCACCTGAGGCCCTATGAAAGGTAACTTCACTGAGAAAGCAGAGGCCACAATGGACATTTCTTCAGTTTGGTATGTATACACACTTTCAAAGGTTGGTTCACATCCTCTTGCTCTGAAACTTTTCCCCACCAATGATCACCCTCCCTCTCTTGACTCATTTCCCATAATCTTTCAACATTCCTGAGATTTCCTTACCGTTTTACCAACTCTTTTCTTCAAGTTCTTGATCCATCTCTCTTTTTTAATTGACTTTTGATAAAATATATACAAAGTTCATCATTTTAATCATTGTAAGTGTATAATTCATTGGCACTAAGTACCCTCACAATACTGACTTCTTGGACTATCCCACGAGGCCTCCCATAAACAATGCACAATCCTGCATTACTTCTGAACTACAGACTAAATGGATCACTGTTGCTCTCCCCTTTCTTTCTGCATTCTATCTCGGCATCTTGGCTCATGTTACTCTCTCTTCCACTTTCATTCTGCCCATAAGGTTCCTACGTGTCTCATGAGTCACTTCTTCTATTCCAATGCAAATACCCTCCACTGAATTCTTTAGTACCTCTGGGGTACCGGTCATTCAAAACTTGCCATTGTCTTGCATTAGAGTGTAGAAGCCTGAGTGGCAGATCACACTGGCACACGGAGCCCAGGACTCAATAGCTGAGCCCGAGAGGCTGAAACAACAAAAACGTGCCACCACATCCAGGTATGCCACGTGCCGTTACTGAGATGTTCATGAATTTCTATTTTTTTCTTATATCCTTGAATAGAAATTTAAGTTTTAACTACTCTCGACTTTAATTTTCTCATCTGTAGAATGGCCACAATACCTCCCGTTCTTTTAAGTTACACAGTTGTTGCAGTAATCAAATTAAATGGGGAAATATTTAGCTATCCATGAATCCCAATGCAAATGGGAACCGATAGTTACCAACTGAATTAGTGTGTACATGACATAAAACTAGGTAGCTTCAGCTTTTAAAAGATGTGTGATATGTAATTGGGTAATACATGGGTAATATGTACATGTGTTTGAATGCGTAAAAGTCACTGAAACCTTTAAACCATTCGAGTAAGCCCTGGTGGGCTTTGTGTTTTTAGTATTCTATTGGAAAAAGTAGTTCAGGCTATTTTTTGACAGCAGGAAATTTATCTTTCCTAAGACCTTTGGGACTGGAAAAATCAGTGGTGGCTGCTAAAGCCAGAGTCAGGGTCACAATCCTTTCTTTTTCTTAGATTTTAATCTGACTGGTTGTCCTTTATTGTCTCATCACCATTTCATTTGCTGGAGGGTCCAGTTTAAAATATGAAAGTAAATGCAGACAATGTTAAAAAGCAGACCAAAAAGAGTCAGTTTCAAAGAACATAAGAAACAAAACAAAAGACATATCAGGCTTTTCTGGGCTGCATAAACATACCTGGCAGACACATTGGTTGTAAAGGAAACACATTCATTGACAAATGTTAAGGGCGTAGTTCCTGTAATATCTTCCCATTGTGCAGGAGTGGTTCCACCTGAAATAATATGATCATTTAAAAAAATCAGGCAAAACTCCAGACTTTGAATTGTAAAATAAAGTCTTTGTGGTTCTGGCTGTGTTCACCCACGTCATCCCATCCACCCCTCAGAATGATATATTGGGAACATGTCTAAAAACCACATGCTAAAAAATGACACACTGAAAACAAACAGGGAATACTACCTTCAAAGGAACTTCATTTAAGGGAGGTTCTTTGAATAACTGCCTCAGATTACCTACTAAGTGTTCAACTCTCTGACTTCTTTTTTTTTTAATGTTTCAAGTTTTTATTTAAATTCTAGATAGTTAATACATAGTGTAGTATTAGCTTCAAATGTACAATTTAGTGATTCATCACTTACATACAACACCCAGTGCTCATCACAAGTGCCCTTTTTTTTAAATTTTTTATTTCTTTTCAGCGTAACAGTATTCATTGTTTTTGCACCACACCCAGTGCTCCATGCAATTAGAGAGGGCACAAGCGCCCTTCTTAACACCCATCACCTATCTAGCCTATCCCCCAATCCCACCTCCCCTCCAGCAACCTGCAGTTTGTTCTCTGCTGTTAAGATCTGACTGATACTTCGAAGCTTTTATTGTAATTGCTAGGCTTTGAAGATCATTTAAAATTGTAACAGCTGATGATTTTAAAGCAACTTCTATTAACCAAGGAGTTGAATACTTTGTTAAAATAACAAAAGATCCAAATAATCTTTTGTTCCTGAACTTCATATTTTCTGGAATTATTTTTAAGAAATAAAATTTCTTCTCAATTCGCAGTTCAAGGTTGGCAAAAAAAAAAAAAAAATGCTTGGAAAAGATTAAGAGCTCAGTAATACTAAAAGGTGAGGGAACAGATGAATGAGTGCTGAAGGATGGCCTCTGAGCACAGAAAGATCACCATGGAGGCGGACATGGACTTTCATTCGACTGGGAAATTACCTTGGCATAGATAAGGATAAAATAGTCTTAAGGCACTGTAGGAGGAATGTATGTTCGAGAGGAGAATAAACTGCGACACTAAAATTCCTTAAAGAAGGAAATGTGTTATCAGAGAAAGTTCATGGAAACTTATTCTAACAGGCCTCTAAAATAGGAATTCTTAGCAAAACCATATAACAGAGCAAAACACAAAAATCCAAGCACTGTGGTTAACATGTTTTTTTAAATTAACAAATAAATTTAAGGACATGTTTTGTACAACCCCATCTGAGGATCTATGGCTGGAATAACTAGATTCGATGGTGTCTAGGCCCAGGTGGTATCTTCATTTGATCACTTACAAGGGTAGGTGTGTCACAGACATTTTTCAGTCTTCTTTCTTTTGCTTCCATGCCATTATGTTGCACATTATAGAAAGGTTAATCGTATACGCATGGAACAAAAGGTATGGGAATGACACCCAAGAATGCTGATAACAATCACAAATGGGTAATTGGGAAAGTGAAAATGAAGCATAAGATTTCCCTTTATACTCATTGTAGCCTGCGCATTTTAAAATCTTGTCATATTATTAAACTTATGGGATAAGGTGTCAATGGTTTGCTATCATAAGTACAGAAAAAAAAAACACTAGTAAGAAGGGAGAATTAGAGAGCAAAATAAGGGTGAACATTCCTTACCATATGGAGGAGAAATGAAAAAAAAAATGCTAACAATACCTAAACAGCCAGGGATGGTGATTATTCCTATTGACAATAGTATATTTACTGAATGCCAACACAATGTAGTTATGGTTAAATAGGGAAATTATCAGTCCAATGATATAGTCCTAACGCAGGTTATTTGTGTGGATTTTTTTCCTCTCAGCATTATGGTGATAATGTTGAGCAGAAAAAAACCAGCGTTCTAGGAATGTCTTTCTACAGTGTGGTAGTTGTCCAAAAGCTACTGCAACTTCTAACTAAAAAGACCAAAATTCAGTTAATTATTAAAAACCTTTGTTTTTCCTAAGTTATTTCAACAGATCAATGATAAAGACAAACCCATTCCTAGACAGATGTCTGAACTTCTGAGTAATTATTCAAGATGCTATTTATTTTTCATATAAGATGAAGTCTTACATGGAAAATAAAAGATGAAGTCTTACATGAAGGCGTAAACCTTAGGCCTTGAGGTATGTAAATTTGGGTTTGAATTCCAACTCTGCTGAATATTTATGGTATGATACCAGGCAAGTTATAGAACTTCTCTCAGCCTTGGTTTCCTTTTCAATGCATAGGGCTAACACTTCCTCATAGAGCCACTGTAAAGACTAAAATGCCAATGCTTATAAAATGTCTAATAGTTTGGCATACAAGCTATATCTGATAAATATTAGTTCATTTTCTTTCACCTTTCACTTGCCTAGTAAATTAGAATGCTTTTCCTGAATTAATGCATATAACCTCACAGGTATCTAATGACAAAGGTAATTTAATATTTACCACAATCTGCTTCTTCTTTCAGAACTTTCTACTAGCAGAGTCTTATGTGACTCACCTGTTATGCTGCATAGTAATCTTAAGGTTGGTGCATCTCCCCCAAAACCATTCAACATGACATCACTTGAAGCTTTGGGGACAGGAATGGTCATGGTAATTGGCTTGTGAAATTTTCTTCTTCTAGGTTCCAAAGTGACTATAGGGCTGAAGGTAGCTTTGTTGCCTAGAATCTTCTTAACCAGCTCACTGTGCATAGGTTGAGCCTTTTTAAAAGAAAGAAAATAGCACAGTATATCAATATGTATTGATATCAATATATTTCAATATGTCGATATCTATGTCAAATTTCTTACTCAGTGCATCTCTTCTTAGCTCAGAAATCAGTCTGGTGACTTCAAATACAGCAACTGTAAGTTTAGTACTAAGCCCTCATATAAAACTTTAGGAGACCTCCCATCTCTAAGGGAAGCTGTTGCTCACCTGTGGATCATTTGACACATTAACCATATATTCCCCACCTGAAAAGCTGACTTTGAATCACTAGAGTAAAAATCCATGTTAGGTTAACTCGTATCCAACACGGGCATACCTGTAAGCCCACACGGATCCTCTTGGTCAGCGCCCCCTCTGGGAAGACGGCCTGCACCTGCGGCACCACGGTGCTGCTCAGCACGCCTCCCTCCGGGCCAATCAGGTTGCTGTCCTGTTTGATGCGCGATACCACCGCAAAGTACTGTGGGAAGTCACGGGTGATGATGCGGCAGATTCGCTTCTTTTCTAGGTCTTCTGGGCTATCCAGCACTGAGACAAGAAATGACCCATTTTATATAGCAAATATTTCCTTCCAAAACCATTCTAGCAAACTCCGGGGCACAGTTAATAGTAAACAAGCATAGAAGCAAAACAACTTTTTTTTTTTTTTTAAATAATAGGAAAATTTTTAAAAAGCAAGACTATCCTAACAACACCAGAAAACAAAACAAACAAACAAAAACAAACACACACACACAAAAAAAACCTCCAGTCTTTCAAGACCTATCAGCATTTAGTCTGCACGTTTTATTTGTCTGAGGAAACTAGGTCTTTCCAGGGCGCTGTGAAAAGAAAAGCATCCAGTTCCAGAAGCAGTAGTGCAGGGCCCAGCACCCTCTGTAAATGAAGGGTTTTGAGGGCAAACCTGGAATGGAAACAAATCTGTCCTATACTTGCTTCACATGAGGGAGAGGAAATGGCTTCTGGATTCCTTTTCTTTGCAAATTTCAAAGTTAGCTCAAAAACCAGTTACTGCAGTTTTAAGAAGAAACACAGCCTTTTCAGTTCTCAGGGCAAGAGTACAGGGATAAAAATCTGTCCCCTAAGGGTAACGTTTGTGTTTGTGTGTTTATTCTAGTGACATGGCTGTCTCTGAAAGAGTCAGATGTTTAAAAAAAAAAAAAATCAGTGATTATGAATTCAGGGTTTGAGTATTCCTCTGAAACCATTAACTTACCAAAAATATCATCTACTGTCAGGAAGATAGGATAATGGACTCTTTGTAAATTGCATTAGTGTAGATATCTAGGGCAATACAAAAATCGGTCTGGTTTAAAAGGCAGAAAATTTGCACTAAGGGGATCACTGAATTTTCAGGGATCACGGAGAGTTGTGGACTGGCAAACACTAGCACATACATACAAAAGAACACATTTCCAAGCACAGAGAACATAAAAATATAAAAATCTGATTCTTTGTTTTATTTATTTATTTTTTAAAGATTTTATTTATTTATTTGACAGAGAGAGAGATCACAAGTAGGCAGAGAGTCCTACAGAGAGAGAGAGAGAGAAGCAGACTCCCCACTGAGCAAAGAGCCCGATGCGGGGCTCGATCCCAGGACACCGAGATCACGACCTGAGCCGAAGGCAGCGGCCCAATCCACTGAGCCACCCAGGCACCCCTGATTCTTTGTTTTAAAACAGGTTTTATACACCTATGGAGAGTTATATGAGTACTCAGTGAAGGACAAGACGCCAGTGCTTGTGGCAGTGTTAATGACCGGTATATCTCAGAGGAAAGTATCCTAAACCTAAATGCAGATAAAGGAAATGGCTCCAAGAAACAGAAGCAGCTAAATATTGCATGGAACAAGCTTTATCAGGAAGAAGTCTGATCTTTCAATCGTCCTTATAAAGGACTGACCTATGCATCCAGAGGGCATAATTTTCCATCAACCTCTTGGGTTATTCCACTTTATTCCACCTCAGCAGGATGCAGAAACAAATACTAAAGCGGCCGCTGTTCAGCTACACTTACTATTCGGAAGCCACGCCTGAAGCTTCTGTCTGTAGTCTACAAGCCTGGTAAACTTGACAAATTGCCAGAACACTGTGTGTCCAGTTCTGTACCACTCTTGGCGCTTAGGCAAAGAACTTGCCCTATTTGTGTAGTTACTTAAAGTGGAACCATGGGGTGCCTGGGTGGCTCAGACGGTGAAGCATGTGCCTTCAGCTCAGGTCATGATCCTACAGTCCTGGGATCGAGCCCCACATAGGGTTCCCTGCTCCCCACATAGGAATTCTGCTTCTTCCTCTGCCTCTGCCCCTGTGCACTACTCGTTCGTTCTCTCTCTCTCTCAAATAAATAAATAAATCTTTTTTAAAAAACAAAGTGAAACCCATCTCCTGGTATTAGGCCTGGAACTTCATTTTTGTGCAGCCTAAGGAGGCCAGACAATGAGCCAATTCCCTTCAGTCACACTGAGATATTTCAACCTGTGGCTAGATGGCCCAAGCTGGATTTGGGATTTACGGAAATCAAAGTCCCAATGGGGGAAAAAAAAAATTCTTAACTCTATGTGTAGGTGTGTATATGAAATTCTACCCTGGCTGACGCCTTGCTTGAATTACATGTAGAAGTTTGAGTGAACTTAATTTTCGTTATCTCCTTAATAAAAAGTTTTAAAAGGAAATCATATTATCCTCTAATGCACTAAAATTACACAAAGACCACACATACCCAAGCCCACTTCCCCTCCCCGCCCCATACACATACACACCACCCTAGGTCATCAGAAAGCAACAGATCATTTTAATTCTTCCTCTTTAGAATTCTTTTAAAACCCTTAATACGAAGTACCTTCATCCATGCCATTAAGGATTTCATTCAACTCATCTTCAGTGTATTCACAGTAATGCTCTTTCCAGCTGTCCCCGTTCTCACTGCGCAGGACCACCAGTTCCCGCTCCTTTCCTCGAAGGGCAGCAAAATGGGGGATCTCCACGATCACAGGCCTGACATAGCAAGGCAGAACATTCAGTGTGGACAAGAGCTGACCAACAGCAAGACAAGCACCTTGATTCTGTCTGTTGCAAAGTGACCTGGAATTGTTCTCTTTCTCGGGACGGGGCATAGCAGGCTGTCCTCCAGAGCCCACTGGCTAGGAGATGGTCACACAGTAGCACTCCACCTCGGGGGCACCAATCCTTAGGGACATGCTGCTACCTTAAGCCAAATAATGTTTCCCTGTGAGTGCATGTGGCATTCTGGAACTTCTCCTTTGATCAATGTAAGTATAACACATTTAACCAAAAGAAATGTGCATGCATATCCATGATGTGTGCCAATCTCCTAAAACATTTTCTACAAGGTGCAGATGACAAAATGGTTTGAGAAGGAAAATGGCTCAAATGTTGCATAATTTGATGTGTTGTAAATGAGAAGATGTCAGGAAAGTTAACTACTCAGGAACTAAAGAGACATGCACTCATGGTTTTTTGCCTTTTTTTTTTTTTTTTTCATTCAAGGGAACAATAGGCATGTGTACACAGTGTGGCCCTAACTGAGCACCTCAGCAGACAGCCCAATTGTGTCCCATGCCTATTAGACTCAGGATCCAGAACATGCACAGCCCTGAAGTTTTTAGGTCGCATTCACTTTCAAAATTTATAGAGGCTTTTGATTTTTCAGTCCAGGTTGCTTTGATACAGACTTCGAATTTATTATAACAACATCATAACTAGCACAGAGTACAACTAGGCAGATCTCATGCTTTAAACGAAAATGAAGGTCACAGCACTTTAAGGGAAAAGATATAAAAAACATCACTCAAAAATAAAAAGTCACATACCACAAGGGTCAGAAATGGTCCACTAAAGATAGGTTATACAGAATTTAAATCATAGGGAGGGACATGTCATGGGCACAATGACAAAAAGAGAAATCATATTGCAGAAGGAGGAGAAGAATGGGGGCCAGCAGCCATCAATTTGTTTTAAGTCACTCCTACCCAAGGAATTTGGTTCCAGGAGGCCCCAGCTGAAGGATGCGGCTGACCAAACTTTCTCCCTCATTAAGTGGGGGAGGAGCCGTTGGCAGGTGAAGTTTACTGAGTACATCCAAAGCAGCAGTGAAAGAAAGAACATAAGTAAGCTTCAGGTATTGTTTTCCACAGAACCCCGGCGTCACCGGCTGATCAACAGGGTGAAGTTTGGTTTCACACTGCGTTTGGTTCTGCCCCCTCCATTGGTCACAAAGAGCAAGGAACTGAGACCCAGAGTGTACAATGGAGGCGAGTGGAAGGAGACACTTAGGTGTTGTTGGATCTGTCCCTAGTTACGTTCACTGCCAGGGCACGAGCCAAAAAAAATAAACAAAAAATGTGCTCCACAGGAAAGACAAAGCTGTTGGGAATATAATAAAAACTCTGACTCTGTAGAGAGGGCAGATGTTTTCATGGATATTCCTCAACAGATGTGAAGTTTAGTAAAAAGCCTAAAACTACTTGGGCATAAGGGAGGGGAAAGGGCCTGGTACAGAAGATGAAAGGGATCGTTGGGCAATTACTCCAACCATACTGGCATTTCCGATGCAACCCAGAACTTCACAGGCTCCTTCTAAGTTTCTGGTCATTTAGGAGGACATAGGAGGTGGCTTCTATAATTGGGGAATACAGACACCCTTTTCAGGTGTGAACATAATTTGCAGCAACCTGTTAATCATTTGCTCCAAATTACAAGGCTTTAGAACATTTCCTCCAGGTTCTAAAGCAAATCCTCTCCCCTAAACGACACTGGCAAAGAGCTCATGATTAGTAGGATTTTCTCCCAATTTTTGAGCACAAAGACTTGATACGACAAGACTTAAATACAATTGATTTGTTTCAAAACATTTTGAAACTTGTCCCCCTCCAAAACTTGATCCTTTTGTTGGTTTTCAGCAGTAGCCAGTCATTTCTTGGCACACTGAGACACCACTTCATATATAATAGCAGTGGTACAAACAGAAGGAAGAAATGCCAATCCCTGCTCAAAATTGCTAAAATGAGCCTGGCAGAAGTTGGTCTTGATTTTGTTGTCTTAATGAAAACTACAACTACAGAGACTGTTGGTATAATTTTAAGACTCAAGATAGCAATTTTGATAACAGAAACGACACATCAGAGGGAGTAAATTTTTGGATATCTTATAAAGACAATGTTGCTTTCCAAAGATAATTGTTCTGTTTCATAATTACACAGGACTTTAAATGTATGTTTGGAATAGAGTAGTACTTTTTCTTTAGGACTTTACCATGTGAGTCTCAGAATTAAGAACAACAACAACAAAAAATACCTACCATCAGTTAAAACATGATTATTCACATTGGGAGCCTAGAAGCTATTGTCCCATCCAAAGAGAGGGAATCATAATTCACCTGAATGTCGAATTCATTAATGCCTTACAATAAGAGGCATGTGATTGGAGTCAAGCACTGAGGTGCTACTTGCCATTTTTAAAATAATTTTGCAGGGGCCAATCTTCTTTTATAATGTTATCTACGTACCTTGTTTCATTCCATCCTAGTGATCTCATGTAGAGGACACAAGCTCATCGGTGACTAAGTGGGAGGTTTAGCAGAAACCCTTACCCAAGGAACTGAGCACCAGAAGGTCCAACTTCAATCAGGCGACTGGCCAGGCCTTCTCCTTCCACCATTGGCGGCATTGTTGCCAGTCTATGGCGTTTGACCAGACGGCAGGTGACTCGAGTTGGGGCAGTACATTTCCGAGGTGGAATAATGATACGGAGCCCGTTGTGTCTGCATCCTCGCATAGCACCACCTCGGGCATCCACCATAAAACTAACCAGGAAACTAAAAATTAAAATAGAAGATGAGCTGCGTTTTGAAATGCTGCAGACAGTAGAGCTTTGTCAAGTTAATTTTTTCTCTTAATTCTTTGTTCTTTTTCATTTATTTGCATGGTGGCACACTATTTGTCCTTAAGAGTTCTTTCACTTTATACCAATGCCTTTATTTCTGTTGTGTGGTTGTTTTAGCCTTTGCATTCTTTTGATCTGTACCTAAAGAATTCTGCTAGTTTTTGTTGACAATGGTGATATTAAATACAAACTGGGAATTAAAGATCTGTCCAATTGACTTAGGAAGTGGAATAAAATTATATAAAGAACACTGATGAGTCTTCTTTCATTATAAATGCAAAGACCTCTGCTTCTGTCTAGGTGTGTCCTGAAAAATCCACATGCTGAAATAATGTAAGGATAGAGTAGAGAGGAGAGACCAAACTGCAGTTTTTCTAAACTAATCCAACCTGACTTTTCAAAATTGTATCTTGTCCAACCCATTTTAATATAATTCTAGGACTTAAAAAAAGATCCATAGGCCTTCTCCCAAGACCAAGCTCATGTTCACACATCCTGCTCCAACATCATCTCACCCAGGATGCAGGTTATTAACTTACTGCATTCTCATGGAGAAGGAAAAGCAAAAATTAATTGTTTTAGATAGAATCAGCACCGGTTGACATGTACTTTTTCAGTTCTTAAGTAGGAAGCTCTCTGCCATCCTGGTCTAACTGAAGCAAAGATGGGGTGGGCAGGAAGTGGGATTATAAATCCCCTCCACTCTGTGTTTTGAAGTGAGAGACCCTGGGCTCATGCTGATGGAAGAGATCTGTGCCTCATGATTTCCCCCAAATTATAGTAAATCTCAATGTGGAAAATCACAGTTAAAAATTTAGAAATGTAAAGGCTTCTAGCACTATTATTTTGTTATTTTACTAAGTTAATTGTTCATGCATAAAAGAACTATAATCCGAGTGACTCCTTGTTTTAAGTGTACCAAGAGAAAGGATTAGTTTTAAACTTTCATGTTATCTCCTGTGTGATGGTCTTCATGGATCCTGATAGAGTTTAGTTTGACTTCTTTTCACTCTGATAGTCCTAACACTCATTAAAGTCTTGGAGGTACTCACTTCCTCAAGGAGTGAAAATTAAACCAGGCAATCCGAGTGTTGTACATATACACAAAGACACAAACGAACAGTGTATATACCCTTACACAGATTACATTATGGTCTCTCCCAATTTTCATCGCATTTGCAAGATTTTATATGCCAAACAAAGAGGAAAGCAACATAGAGGTGTGTTACGGATCTACTTGAGCTTAACCAGCCCAAGAACTACATCAGATTCGCCACGTGTAGATATTGCATCCATGACAACATTTAAAACATTTGGAAGATATTTTATCCAAGTAAGTTATAGGAGAGAAACACAATACATTGATGTTATTTTTAGACAAGTGATGAAAAATATGTTAGCATCTTCTTCATCGCACTACACAGAACTCATGAAGCATGCTATTAAACAGAAATCCTGTTGCTAGTAATAAAAATGGATGCAGAGGAGCCGGAGTGCCTTCCTGAAGCCCGTCATGCAGAATGAGACCACGAGAAGAGCCGTCACCATCCTTCCGGCATGCAGGAGCCAGCCTAGAACTACCATTCACACCAGCCTTCTAAGTTTTTAGCATAGGGCAAAAACTGGGGAGTATAATCAATGGTTTAGTACTCAAGAGTGGATGTTTCTGGTCTTTATTAAAACACAATGAAAAAAGGTTGGTTGCTTTTCTTATTACTAGTCTAAGTATGAATTCTTTAAAAAAAATTCTATTAGTTTTTTAAAAGGTAGTATTGCTCAAAAGGTTGGGAAAAAACTGGTAACACTTCTAGATGAATACAAAAGTTTCTTCTCCATTTTATTTGTTTTGAATGGACTAGGCTATTAATGTCAATTTTTATAAAAGCTAGGGGCAAAGACACTAAGTTTTGATCAGTGCTTCTCGAGATGCATTTCAGTATTTCCGACTTTCCCTAATCGTTTTTTCATCTTTTGATTACTTTCATCACTGATGAACAACACAGGGACTCAAACTCCTAAGAAATTATTATAATACATCTACTCAATTTTACCAGTCTTTCTACCTTTTGAAGGCATTTTGGAAGCTTTCACACTTACGTTATATGCTATTGCGTTTCCATTATATTTATTCCAGTGATGACTTATGGCCTATATGATGTCCCCAACTAGAAAAACATGGAGAATGACTTCTAGGGGTGCATCTTCTAAAAACAAGTGAGTGACAGTAGCTATGTTCTTAGCTGTAACAATGTTTCAATAACTACATGTTTGATTCCTTTCTCTGATTTTGTGTCACTGACTGTTCCTTTTGAAATCCTCTTTTGTTCTCATTTACTCCATAATTTCCCTTTCCATGTCTGAGAAGGATGCAATGTTTGTTACCCTCCTGTTGGTGGGTGCCCTGCATGGAACTAAGGATACTGAAAGTGAAAACATAATGGTTCCTGCCAAGCAGCTCTTACTCAAAATTACTTTGCTTCCTGGTCAATAAGTGAATTATGACCACATAAAGGAGCCATGTAAGTACCATACTGGCCATGACCTTGTTCTTCCGATGTTCCCCCAGCACCTAGCACAATGTACATGGAGCACATAGTACGCAGTCAATAAATAATTGTTGAATAATTGAATGAATGGAAGAACGAAAAGAGCAAGTTGTAAGAGGTTGTATATATTTATCTCTAATACAGAGAAAAGGCAGCAAAATTGAAGGTAATTTAATTGTTTGGTCTCTAGACAGCCAATCCAGTCAGAACTCATTCAGATTACTACACTCTGATATTTCAGCTCAAAAAATAGCAGAATCATTGGGAAGGACTACACTCAATGTTAAATATTCTTCTTCTACAGGTCTTTTCCTGCTCCCAAATAAGAGACCTGATATGAAAAAAAGAAAAAAAGAAAGACTCAATATGTTTATTTCCCCTGACAGATGATTGGTAGAAAATGGGAGCAACCAAAAATCAAGAGTTCAAATATAACAGGAAACAATTCCATTAGGAGTGAAAATTTCATGAAGAAAGAAAAAAGGATGGAAAATCAAAATAAAAGAATTTAAAGACTGAAATCTGCAAGTAGATATATTTAACTGTAAGAGTCTCAGCATCCTCTAGATCTGGAAAGTAATACTTAAATACTGCACCCAATCACAGCAAATTGGGAAAAGAAAGGTGCCAATCTGCATAATTCAGAGAAAAGAAAAATCACATTTCCAAAGAAAACAAGCCTTTGTGTCTTTCTCAACTAACTAAAGGAACTAAAAGACTAACAAAAGTGACAAGTTTTAGTAAGAGAATTGTCCTTAGCCAGAGAAGAAGGGAGAGTAGGAGTGGAAGGGAGATGGAGGAGAGGAGGAAGAGGCAGTGAGAGAGAGTCAGAAGCTGGAGGGTTGAGAGGAAAGCAAAAGAGAAAGTGGTCAAGAGAGAAACAGAAAGGTTAGAAGAAAGAACTGAAAATTAGTTGCCAAAATGAATAGAAATGTTTATAAGTTCAGCAAGAAAATACTCCATAGAAATCAGACTCAAATAATGTAATTACAGAATAACAACTAACAAAAAAGCTGAATATGCAGAATTGTACACTAAAAGAATGATTTGTTTCAAATAAGAGGGAATAAGAGAAATAATGATTCAAGTGCTAATGGAAAGTCTTTTAGATAAAACATGCTAGTCAATCCCAATAGTCTATAATATACAACTGGGTAAGCATTTGAACACTTTTATTAAAAACACCAGAATATCAGAAGGTTTCACAATTTGGATAGGTGGTAGAATTAGTAAGGTTATTCTGCGATGTAAAAAACAGACTGTAACAGACCATTTACTTTTTTGTACCACAGGAAAAAGTGCAGGGCTGGAAGCTATGAGTCATGAGATGAATCAGCTCACATACTAGAGATGATTAAGTAAATATGATTTTCTCATCTCTTCAGGAGATTATAAAGGGGACAAGATAAACCTGCAAACATTTGGAGATAAACGGAATTAAAGTAAAAACATGTAATTAAATACGTCCAGAGGAAATGATATATGTAGGGACTAATGCTTAGCTTTGCTGTTTGTGAGCTTGAAGAATGAAGCCTCGTCTGTCGATGAGGGAGAATCATAATATCACCACTAAGGGTGCAGTGAGGATTCAACCATGTATGGGAAAAGCATTTAGAATTCAATAATAATTCAATAAATGCTTGTTCACATCACTTTCCTTGCCCTAAACCCAGATGATTTTATGTGTTTCAAATGTCTTAAAAATTACAGTGAGATACAATACCTAAAAAAGAAAGAAACTAACTTTTATCAGCTATCTAAAATGAACTGGGAACTTTGCTAAAGCAGTTTAATGTGACAGTGGAATTTTTACTAGTTTATGAACTTCACTATTTAAGTAAGCTATAAAGGTACTATTATCACAGAGCACAAAATCCGGCAAGTACCATGCTCTCTCCTGGACGCCAGCTATCATTAAATCGATTTCTGTCTTGAATTGTTGCTGTGACATCAAGCAAGTCACTTCCTGTCTTCAGGTTCTAATTTTCTCATCCACAAAATGAGAGACTTTGGCCAAATAAACTCTATGGTGACCTGGTGTTAAAATTCTATGTGCCATTTCCTGTTAACTAAAGTTAGGAAACCTACTGAAATGTTTCATGACTGTCAGATGCTTTGTAAGAATTTTTATTTGGAAAACAAACTGCTTTTACTCCAAGAAAAATATATTATTTTTGCTGTACGGTTAAAACAGTCAACGAACAGTTTTGGAGAAAATATGTACACACATTGCACTCAACACTGACTGAAGACTGTACAGACAAAATTTATCACAGAATATACTCAGCTTTAATTGCGTATCTTACTCTCCAAAGGAAATTCAGCAATCATGCAAAATAGAAATTCTTATTGACGTTTTTCTAAATTGTGAGAATACAGAGTTATC